AACCGGCATTCAACGAAAACCCGTTCGGCAACGATCACCGGAGCCAGTATGGTGTGGCACAACCGCTTTTTATCCAGTCCAGGTTCAGCAGATATACGGATCCTGATGATGAGAGATCCGCCTTGCGTCCTGAAAGTCAGGCAACATCTGGCGAAATCCCCTTAACATTTGACCGGGATGGTCTCGGATTCGAAGAAGGACGGTCGAGAGTAGCGCGGCGGTCTTCGATACAAAAGTTTACAGCGATGGAAAGGGAAGGTGGTCCTTTGAAATAGACTGTTAATAAGCGTTATGATTTAAGGTAGTGTTTTTACAAAGCCGGGCTGCTCGTAAGGGTATCCGCATTCATATTGATATTTTATGTACATAATTGTCAGCCATGTTGTGAATAGTAATTCAAGATTCATAACAATTTTGCGCTGCAAGGAGACTTGTGTAACTCATTTATTTAGCATGTGAGGACAACTTCAGCTTCCAAATTGTTCGTTCTTCACATGTGTCGTCAGCGTACCAGGCTCCATGGTCTGAGCTTAGAGGTCTGCTTTTTCACGCAGACCAGGGCAAACTCCTTAATGCTACTTCACGGCAGGATTACCGCAGACATGTCACCGGATCACGATAACGATGCAGTGGTGGTAATATTATTGCCCCTCTCAAATCAAGATGTATTAAGACTGAGAGAGAATCTCCAATTTGTGTATAGCCGTTGAACACCATTCCAGTACGGACCCGGCCGTAGTGTACCCTCGCGCCCATGCTCGTATGCCAACATATCATACATGAAAATTACCTCCGACTTTAGTGTTTCTTGAACGGAAACATGCTCATGAGCCCTGCCAAAAGACCTCCACCTCCACCCCCGCCAGCGCCCGCGTCCTGGGCAGCGGCAGCATCGGCATCGGCCTGTGGGGGAGCGGCGACGGCTTGACAAACGGTAGAGCCGGCAGCTGTGGCGCCAGCCGGGGGTGGTGCGCCAGGAGCTCCCGGGAGAGCCGGGACAGACGTGCCGCCAAAGACTGCGATGCCTTGATCCAGGACGGTGCTGAGGGCGCCGGCACTCTTTTGCGCGTCGGCGTTCAGCTCCTGGGGGACTTTGCTGACGAGAGCCTGGGCGAGGGCGACGCTCGCGGACTTTTGATCTTGGAGCGCAACGGCAACCAGTGGCGTTGCGCCGAGCGAGTCGACTAGTGATTTCTTTGCCACGACATCGTTGATGGTAACCTTGACGTTATTCGTAAGCGCATCGGTCGCAGCCTTGAGATTCAACGCGTCCTTTCTGTTGAGAACCTCAGAGGCTTGAACTTGTGTCGTCGCGTCCTCGATCGAGGTTTTGACGTTGCCGACGGCGCCGAGCAGCTGGATTCCACCGCCCAGTGTCACGGTTTGCGTGTTTTTCACCGAATTGTCGAGTCCTTGCAGCGCGGAGTTGATGGTGTTTAGAGCGGCTTGGATCGTGGCAAGATCGCGCTTGTACTTGGTTGTAATGACGGGAGCGCCGAGGGCCGTGGCCGCGGCAAGGGTGAAGGACAAGAGAGAGCGGAGTAACATCGTGACCTGCCTGCCTGCCTGCCGGTTACTTGGAGTATCGTGGCCCTGAAAGGATTGAACTGCTGCCTCCTTCGGATTAAAAGAGAGTGTGGGTGCGAAAATAATAAAGGAGGAGCAACTTCAGACCATCACAGCTTTGCGCAGTAGGCTATGTTGCGGTGGATGTAGGCAGCTGAAGAGGGGGAGTGCAACGCCAGCTGAAAAGGAACTTGACTACGAGGGTCCATATAATGCGAATGCGGGGAGCAAGGACAGGATGATGGCACACGGCCAAGGCTATCACAAGGCGAGGGCCAGAGACTTCGCTGCCGCAGGTCCCGATGTCACCAGTGAATCTAGCCTGATCTTTGGGTGGTGCTGGCTTTCATGAGGCAAAGTTGAGACGGCCTTGATTTTGTGTGGGAGTATTGCCCTCTGCCGTGAGACTGCTGCCTCCATGGTCCCGCGAGCCGGGCCACCTACGGCAGGAGACTGGAATCCATAGTACGACGTTCACCTAGTCGGCGAGCTACGCGATTTGGTGGATTTGAACCACCATGCAAATTCCCTAGAAAGGTAACTCTCGTAGAATCCCTGTTTCATGTCCCGAAAGTCCAGACGAATCTGAGTGCATAGTTTGGCGGCCAGCATTTTGCCTTTAAGCCCGCCCACCGGCTCGACAGGTGGTCGTCAAGAAGATGATGGTCTCTCCATTGCCAAGTTCCGTTGTTTTCAACACGAAGATCAATGTCATGCAATTGAAATCACTGTAACATCAACTGGCACAGTAATTGCCTCTCCAGAGGTCAACGTAATGAAGGAATAGAAGCCTGCGCATTGCGAGGGAATGTCGTTGAGTCAGTCTTTGGGCATGCAGGCCATCGGATCGGACTCCCCCAAGTCACATCGAATGAATTTCCCGATTCAACGGTGATACAACCTTGACTGCTTCCACGCCGTCTCATCTTTTCTCGTTTTCGTTTCAATTCCCGCACAGGCTTTGTTTCCTTAAACGGGGAATTATTAGGTACGATATTACGAAATCCGAGCCGCGATCATCGCCCCATCTTCCGATGAGTGGATCGCGTGGACAGCGATCCCTTTGAACAACGCTCGACGCATCCAACCTGTCACTAACCAGACTGGCGGAAGATTTGCAAAAATTGAGTTGGAGAGAAGGATTTGTGCAGTTCCGACCAGGACGAACTGCTCCCCCCGTGGTTAATGTGATCACAGAGTCATTTTGGACCGGCCCCGACCGCCGATATGTCCCCGGGTCGAGCCTCTCCGTCACGGCCATCAAGCATACCCTTGTTTGTTTCAAGGAAGCTCAGACCATATCAGGCCTGCGCGATGCGGCTGTAAACCCGTCGTTGTATCTTAGTGTCGGGCCATCATCTGGAGGCTGTGGACAGTGCATCCACAACTGACGTGTAACCGTCGTGTCTGCCAGTACTTGACGTTGGGCAGATTTTACTGATCTTGATTTTCTGCTTTCAACTGTTTGTAGGGAGACTAGCGCAAGTCTGGTATTCAGCGAAGGTCCCGGTGATCCATGTGTGATCAGATCTCTGTTGCAGTTGCGATAGCGTGGTGAGATTTTCTGTCGGCGCCGACAGATAGACACGACCTCCCATCCCGGCTCTCTAGGTTTGGACTTTTCTGAAAATGCTTCGTCGCATCTTTCTGTATTTGGAGCACAACGATATACACGAAAGGAGTTTAACTCCGATGGAACCATGATCGGGATTGTGTCTACCTATTTGACTGGAGTTCGGAATTCGTGGGACAGGTAAAGAGTGAAGAATTCCCATTGGCTCGCTCGCTGTTCGCCGGGGTCTTGGCGTCAAGTGTCAAGCTCCAAGAGCATCCCGAGCTTATTATGAAGGCCAATGCGATGTCATCAAACACTCTGGCCACAAGTTTCGTATAATCCGTATCTGGCAAGGCTGCGCCGAGCCATCCGAGGGAGTTGTGAAGCAATAGTTGAAGTAGGTCCCCGCTTGTTTGTGACGTTCATCACACGTCTGCCTTTCATCATCCTGAAGTCCACACCGTTGGGTCGGCGTCCAAAGTCGGGATCTTCGTACCTTTCGTGTTCCTACCCCTCGTCGCAACTTCGATTACGTTCCATGCCATCCCAGAGACTTCCAAGGTCCAGCTGCATACTTCACGCGTTGACTATCAGCTAACCCAAAAGAAAAGGCAATGTGTAATATGGAGGCCAAAACGCTGTCTAGTTAAACCAAACTTCTCCAGCGCGAGATCAGGGTTGCTTCGCCGGAGAGAAATAATCGCCGTGAGATCAGTGTTCGTGCCAAGTGTGCCGATGACACAAACAAGCTTAAACCAAGGCAGCGGAGTCTCTTTCGGGGCCGGCAGTTGTGAAGTGATACGGCAATATCCGCCGTTCGACATGATGCCCTCGCTATTCGGCCCATGCCAAGAGTAACGGTTGTCACTCCGTGGTTTTGACATGATGTTTTGACGGATGTCGTAACTCTCGGCAACGCCGCTATCCATAAGCCGCCTTTGATTCCGACAGACCGGCCATCGCTGTTCGGGCGACTCACTGACTTTGAGTCACGCAATCGTCTGATGTGCAGAGCTCCACGCGATACCTAATTTGGGGGCCAAACTACAACTTCTTCTCGGTTCTTTGTCTAGTTTTACACATATTCCGTCGATCTTAAGGACTCGGCCGATCGAAGCCGGGAGTCTTTGAAGCATACTTCGTACGCTAATTGCAAACATACGAAGGCTGCCACGAACATACTCACAGCCCACATGCGCACTGTTGCTCAGCTTCAAGCCAGGGACAAAACTGGGTTGAAGCATATTTTCCTACAGCAATCAATTGGAGGCCAATCGCTGCACATTGTTGTTTTCTCTTTGACTTGTTCCCATCCACAAGGCCAAAGCAGGGTTGACTCAAGTCCGGTAATCACGAGCTTCACTGACGGAGCATTTGTCTAGCCTCCAGTTTCAAAGATCGTCAATGATTACCACTCTTGTCTAGTGTGATCAGAGGTAAATCTCAAAGATGTTGTGAATGTCTAGCAATGACTCTTGAAGGTCAGAAAAATGTGAGTTTTTACATTGGCAAGTGTCATGTTAAGAAGGATGATGCGAATGTAGAAGAATTTCATCGCACCAATATCTACTGAATTCTTGAAAACAGGACCCAATGATTTTCTACATTTACACACCAGACTCGGAACTTGTATCGCGAAATTGACAGACATGTCCGGTATTGCACCGTAAGCGGCTACGTAGTGATGTAATGCTGGGGAAAATGGCCCCTCAAACATGTGAAAACAGTCAATCTCGCGTCTCGGGTCATCCGCGAAAATGGGATCTAAGATATATTTTCTGTACGATCGTGGTATTCTATTAAATAGTCCAGCACTCTAGCTGTGAGCTGGATTGACACCGCAATTTTACGATATTTATGTCACATAGAAACGAACTGATCATATGCCTCTTTTGATATCCATCTCTTTCACAAAGCTCTGAAGCTCTTTCACGACTCGATCTCCGAGCTGTTTGCCTTCCGGGGTAGAAAGGAACATCTTGTGGTCCTTGGAGATGTGATCGTCCGTCCACATCTGACCGCGACCTTCCTCGCCCAGTCCAAGGCTTGAAATGTAGATATTTGCCCCTTGCTCCGCCGTCCGCGCAACGGTGTTGTTGACGATCTTTGCCATCAATCCGACGACTCCGTTGTTGGCTGAGTGACGCGAGAGGTCCGAGTTGACCGCACCAGGGCAAACGGAAGCAACGAGAACCTTTGGTTTCTTTTCAGTGTCCTCGATACCTGGGAGGAACGCAAGGTGCCGCATGGAATATTCAAGCATAAGCTTGGTGAGGCAGTAGTGCCTTTGTCCTCCCATGACTCCCGGCGTGAAGGCCTCCGGTCTTGATAGGTCACGAAGAGGGGCCGTCGAATTGAGGATAGGTTCTATGGTCGAACGACTGGCAAGCCAAGCCGCGCCGGAGCTGACCAAAGTGAGATGCGGTCTTTCGGCGACCGAGGCCTTCTGCACCAAAGGAGAGGCGAGTAGCATAGGGAGAAGGTGCGTTGAAAGCAGTGTTGGCGAAATGGCGTTGACTTGCAGGCTGCTCTCGTATCCTGTTTCCGCCTGATTGTACGATCCTGCCAGCAACCCGGCACTGATGATGGCGTGGTCCAAGTGGTTTGTCGTCTGCTTCAGTCTATTGACCAAGTTGTAGATTGAGTCAGGGGAAGTCATCTCAACGACAAGAGGAACGATGACCGGTAAGGGCCCTGAAAATGCCGAACTTGATGCTAAGTGCTCTTCAATGGTCGCTTTGGTTGTAGCTGCCTTGGCTTCGTCTCGGGCTGTGATGATGAGGGTAGATGTTCCCTGTGCTGCTAGCTTCTTGGCTGCCTCAAGACCGATGCCTGTGGAGGCCCCCACGACGAGGATGGTGAGCCCATCAAAACGTCTAGATGATGGCTTGGGTGGGTGAAAACGGGCTGTGATGACCTTCAACATGGTTCTCTTCGAGATTTCGGAATGAGGAAATGGAAGGGGGTAAGCAAATCTGAATACAGCATGAAGTACTGAGAGGGCATCAACCGATCATCTAGGGCATCTTTATAATTCTATGGTCAACCTACGATGTGGGTTCTATGTTCATTCCATTTAGGCTAGTTCCAATCTGTGGCGTCGCCAAATAATTACACCGTTCTTGTCGGGTTCAAGATGTTACCCGACAGCCCGCCACCTGCAGACTGGAGTAGAGGAATGAAATCCTTCTCATTGTCAGATCTTTGCCAAGCCCTTGCCATTTGCTAGCAAGGAGTTCTCAATAATGCTTCTTTCCCGTTTTGTTGCGCACCCGTTCTCCTAAGCCAGCCATGCCCTTTTTCTTCTTTGCTCTGATCCAGAACACAATGCCTCTAAACATTTTCTGTCATTTTCAAAGCGAGGAGCAGCGCCGACGTGGGCCGGCTTTTGTGGACAAAGCCCGGCCTCTTCCCGATGGAGGATTCCTTGGGGGTGGCCGAAGATGAATGCGCGGGTAGACGCCCGAAAAGTGGGAATACTCGTAAAGCGCACGGGCTTTCTTAGGTACCTAGGTTGAGATTGTCCCGTGTGTGGTTCTCTGTCTAATTCGACGCTAGAAACACCTTAGAAATGGTAGTAATTCCGTTAGTACACGAAGATCTTGTGGGGTCAATCGTTACCCAGTTCAACGATTGGAAGAAAAATATTAAGTAGTTCTCGTAGTTGTATGGCCCTATCGTGGCCTAGATATTGTCAGCTTTCGAGCCAGACGAATCGATCGCATGGTCATTGGCCACCGACCAAAACACACAAGACCAACTTCTTACCAAAGCAAGATGCGTTGTAATTGAGCCCCTACCAACACTACATATGTCTCCCAAAGTTCTGCGTCATGCCCACAGACCGAATGGAAAGCATCAGCCTAATGATGTCTCACTTCTGCGACAAGCCTAATTTGAAGCCCATCCGATTGCGCAATAATGTCTTCAAGAATACTTACTTGGAATTGAGAGTATGGCGAGCCAACTCATCTCAGGTTTAGGACCTTACCTGAGTATTTCCCATTTGCTTTGGCATGTGCGTCTCCGTCAAGAGTGGTTTGAGTATACTGTCTCGGCGGTCAACGGAGTCCCCGCCGACCAGCACAATCAAAACAGCAGGAGATCCCGAGATGGGAAATCGCCTGGCTCGCCCTCTCAGCCAAGACTTGTCTGCCATGTTCTTTGGCCCACAGCTTTCTAGAGTAGGTCACCATTTCACTTGCCTAAAGCATCTGCAAGTGACAAAGTCGGCAAGGCTTCACGACAGGTCACCTGAAATAAGCAGAGAAGTTTCCTCTTCCAACTTCGCTAATGTTACATTTGATGATCGCTTGATGGCCAAAGGCCGCAACTTTGTGAACGATTGCAATTTTTCCTTGTTCTGTTGTTAACTGTTACTATTGTGTTGTATTATCCCGCGCAAGCCGCGGATCGCACGGGGATTATAGGCGCCACGACAACCCCGATTCGTGCTGCGCCATCGGTATGCCCCATTGCACCGAGCCCGAAATGCCCAGCTCGGCTTTACTAAGACTCTCTCGACGGCGAGTCGATCCTTTCTGGAGTTGATGTAATTTGATTTGGACCAGGTGCTGGCAGGCCATTGCCAATCGTTACATACATCTCGGGCGGATCTCAACTTTCTTGGCTATGCTGGAGACCTCACACCTTGCGGTCATGGGCTGAGGATATGGCGACTGGACCAAGTCCTTTGGCCCCTGGGTAAAAGATTTGAGAAATAATCAGCAACCAAGTTGATTAACTGACGTTGATATAACATAGACCCAAGGGCGGTTTCGTGTCAATCATTGAAATTAGAACGGCTCCGCTGGTGGATGGCTACGAACGAGACATGAGCTTTTGATGTGTATCATCTTAAATTGACGACTATGCGGTTCTCTGAGTAGTTCGAAGGGGTAATTGGTAGTTTCTTATCCCAAAGTTCAGCCCATAGTCCCTGAGAATCCCCCCACGCCTAAGTTTCCAGAATACCCATTCGCTGAAGCTCGGCAACCGACACATATGGCCGTTCAAATCTTGGCTCGAATTCATCCTTGTGCTTTCCAAATCCATAGCCTACTGACAGACTCAGGAGCAAGCCTTCCGGTGCATGTGGCCCAAACGACATAAACTGTGGAAATAATGAAGGGCGTACGTAAGGATTCTCGCCGTCGCCGTACAGGAACTCGTCCAAGTCGTCATCAAGCCAGACGGCCCGCCCTGGTAACGCTTGGAATTCACCCTCATCTCGAATGAGTAGCCGAGGTCGTGTCGCCCGCCTCTGCCATTCTGAGTTGTCTCGAATGCCAAAGAGGAGCTCTCTATAATCGCCACTGTCTTTCAAGAACCAGAGGAAGCTGAGCTCGACCGACCGTAAGGTTTGCGGGAGGGCAGCAAGAAAGTCTAGCAAGTCTTTCTGCTTAACTAAAAAGCGCGAAAGTCCAAAATGTGATAGATTCCTCCACGTCTCGATAGGGAAAATAGATCGCAGGGGTATGAAGTGATCGGCTGTCGAACTTTGGGCGCGCCACGGATCGTCAGGGTTATCTTCTTGGTCGGTCTCCAATATAAAGTATTGCAAATCACTAGCAGCCTCCAAAGCCTTCTTCAGGCGCCCATTGCGGAAAGCACCGTAGCCATTGTACTCCTGATCGTCCATCATGAGGTTAAGCTTAAGCGTGGTGAAGCCTGGCTTTTTGATAACGGCAACGAGGTTTTCGTATTCAACGGCCTCAACTCCAAATTCTGGTGCACTGAAGATAGCACACGGAAGCCCAGTGCTGATCTGATTGCCGTCAAAAATGAGTTCCGTGACACCCGTGCTTGTCGGCTGTGCGAGAACTCTGACGACATGGCGAAAGCCACGCCATTTGTCCTTCACCTCCATGTACGTCTCCGTTGGGTGCCCCAGTGGGGATGTCTTAACAATCTTTTCGTTCCAATCCCAGCCGTCGAACTCCTCTCCGTGCAAAGGGGTTGGCCAACCACGAGGAAGCGGATAGATAAAGCCGTCCGGAAGAGCACGAATAGCAGGAGTTGGATACAACGGGTTGAAAAGCATGCCGTGTGCTGCGGGTGTGAGAGTGACTCTCTTCAGGTAAGGGAATCTGTTATTTTTCAAAGCCCATTCGAAAGCAACTGCATCAGCTAAAGTATCAGATAGCACGTGTTCTTGCTCTTCAAGTAGCTTCAGATAATGTGCGTAGGCGTCTCGGATAGGCATCTTTGCGGCAAGCTGCTTCGATGCCTCGACATACTGCGGCAAAGTCTCGGCATCGTGCTGACGTCTGTCTTCCAAGTTTTCGATAGCGGCATGATAACATCTGTAAAACCAGAAAGGAACACCACGTGGACGCTTAACCCATGGGCTATCTTCATCGTCTCCTTCATCGCTTGAATGGTCGGAACCTTCATCAAATCTGTCCCAGTCGCCATCATACCTGTGGTCCCGATCCGATGGTTTTTCGTAGCGAGATTCATCCCAGACAATCTCGCGGACGTCGTGGCGGAAAGTCTCGTGCTCTGCGACCGCGCGGAACACCTCCACGTTCAAGGGGCTGGCGCCTATGAAAACGCGCTTGAAGCGAAGATGAGGGCTAACGAAATTCGCAAGCTTCTTGCAACTCAATCGAAGGTTTTTGATGTCGATATTTTCAACATGGGAGAAAATGAGCGCGGATATTTCGAAGGGCGAGTTTGCGATGAAGTCGACAACAGCCGACGCCGCGGGCAGGTCGGGTTGAGGATTCATCATGAAGGCTGCCAAGAAAGATGGAGAAAAGGAATTTCGCGCAAACCAATGGCGGCATGGGCTTGTTGGTGCCTATTAAATACTTCTTCTACTCAACAGAGGTAGTTCTTGTTGGACTGTATCGGGTGTTAGCTCCGGGCGGATCAAGTGGAGTTTGTCCCGCCCATCATCCCTGCTGGGGCCAGGCAGAAGAGGTTCGGAACTTCGTAGACCACAGCTTAAGCCGAACTCCCAGGTCCGATTCGACCTTCTCATGTCCTGCTCCTCGACATTGCGGTAATCACAAGAAAAAGACGGGAACATGAGCTTTTTCACCGGCAAAACATATCAGAGATTGGACAAGGTACGCAGTATGAGGCAGTACAATTCGAGTTGTTATTATATCTTGGCCTTTGTGTTTTCGTTCCAGCCCAGTCCCAATAGTCTATCGAGGTTCCCATGAGTAAACAATCTCATCTGTTCCGCATCCAAAAAGTCAATACTGTCAATGAGTCGTTTCCCGTCCTCATTTGAGGCATACGGATAGTCCACAGAAAAGCATATCCGGTCCATCGGCATAACATCAACCAACGTCTTGAGCGGCGTCGTGGTGAACATTCCACTAGTGGTAATGTAGAAGTTCTCTCGCAAGCACTGAAGAGGTCCCTTCTTATGTCCTGCCTTCTTCATCACCTTTCCGAGGGTGTCCTCAATGCGGCCAATCATCACCGGGACCATCTCGCCACCGTGGCCAATGATGATCTGGAGGTTGGGCAGCTTGTCAAACAGCCCGATTGAGATGAGTCTGACTACGTTGAGACCGACCTCCGAATGCCATCCCCAAGCTCCGGTGGATACCGTGAAGGCAGCTTCTGGCGAGATGGTGTCTCCGCTGAATAAGACATCGTGGGCCTCTGCACTCGGGAAGCTGGGATGGATGTAAATGGGAACTCCAAGATCCGCCGCTGCCTCAAAGATTGGGAGGTACTTTCGGTTATCAAGGAACTCCCCGTCAACCGTGTTGTTGATGAGAGCTCCCTTGAACCCAAGTTCCCTAATGCATCGCTTAAACTCCTCTACCGCCCTCTCAGGATGCGCGGTAGGTAAGCACGCGAAAGCGGCGAATCGGGCTGGGTGTTTCTTGACAGCTCCGTGCAGCTGGTCATTTGTTTTGTGGCATCTATCAATATCTTTCACGTCGTAGACCGTCTGAGAGAGTACCTGAAATTCCATCAGCGATTGCACACGCGGATTGATTTTTGGACACTATTACCTGTGTACTGATTCCATGCTTGTCCATATCGGCGATGCGGCCTACCCCGATGTCCCGCAACTGCGAAACAGGCCATTCAAAACCCGGATGATGCGCAGGGAGCTGGCCATCGAAGGCCGTTGAGCTGAAGTGTTCTTCAGCCGCGACAATTCTCATGTTGTTCAATTCTCGTTATGCAAGGATTTCAGTGGAATTAATCTCGACGTTCAAAGGCCGTCGAATGGTCGGGGATCACGGAGACTTTTATTGTTCCTCAGCAAACGCTGAAGCTAGCGCAGCTCGGTTTCTCATTCGGTACCGACTACGGCACACGGGGTGGTAATGAGTGAGGGTTTGATCCCATCATCGGCAACTCTATCGAGACCATGACGTAGATGCCCGGATTTCCGGCTTCGGCATTTGCGGCGACGGCGACGTTCGGTCAACGCTTAATGTCCGCGCCGGAAGGTCCACTCATCGGTCTTCTGCCCCACTACCTCCGAGCCGTCAGCAACTAATTGTTGTGCGGCGTTGTAAGTCGAGCTTGAGTGCTATTATCAACTGCTGACATTACTAAAAACCTAGTGCGTTCAAGCGCCGACGTGCGTACCTGAGATTCCGGAGAGGAGCTTGGATAAATAGTTAACAGGAGGGACTTCCTCTCACAAAACTAAAATGGATACTGCCTTGGGAACAAAGAAAAGGTCTTGGTTCAATGCTAAACAATTCCAAGTCCTTCGGTCGACGACAAACGGTCAGAGTGCATGCTCCCTTTCACATTCTCCGGATCCTACTCAGAATGTTTCATCCTGTTCTGTTAAAGAACACCCCAATGTGTGCAGCTTAGACAGGTATGCATCTGCGGGGCTGTTGAAACTTCATCTCATCCATGACTTGCTTTCACACCACGTAAGTCTGCAATTCATTACACCAAAACCTGCAAAACGCCTATTACACTCCGCCAAAAAGAGCGAAAAAGGAAGGCATTGCCTCGAGGGCGAATCGAACGCCCGATCTTCTCATTACGAGTGAGACGCTTTACCACTGAGCCACCGAGGCATTTAGAAACCAGATCGTGGTTGGTGGGCCACAGATGCGAGCTGGGGCGGATGCAACCAAGCTAAGGGGTGCAGAATTGCGATGGAGTGATTATTGTAAGCGAAAACCTTTGGGTGTTGTTGATTGTGCAAGTTGTGTGAGGAAACGCCCGTCATTCGTTGGAAAAGCCGTTTGAGTTATTAGTCAACGACCGCGCGGTTCATCCCTTGCTCTCCGTCTCACAACGCCGGGATTACATGTGGGCTTTTGCGCCCAACTCCGACCGATGTGCTGATACCGCGCGGGCGCCACCGTAAGCAGCCAAGGCGGCGAGAACATACCTTAAGCCACAACTGTTGGCTCATCGCATAGAGAACGCCGATGGTTTGCGTCAACTTACACACCTTGCATATTAGTTTGGATGTCAGTGGTCAAGCTGCAGACCGCGCGCGCGCGCGATTCTTTTCATGCAGCGAAATCAACTCTAGCTGCCCTCAACTCACAAGCTGGTATTGATAATCAGCGACACGCCGGAAAGAAGTGTACAGAACTTGTGTCACTTACCGGCCAGCAAGCCAAGCCGATGCCGACGTGGGGCTTGGGAAGGGACTTTGGTACGGAGAGTAGGTTGCAATAGACACCGGTCGCCTGCTGAGGGAGCGAGTTGTACCACGGGCAATGCAGTGCTCATTATTGCCCTCGAACTTTGGTTGCGAGTATAAAATCAGAGTTCTTCGTGTCCTGTTGAAGACTCAAGAAAGTCAGTCATTCAACGTCTTGTCTTCGGAAACTCATAAGAAGGTCCTCTTTCATTCCTCAGAACTAACTAAAACATCAACTTCCAAATGGCCGCCGCCAAGAAAGTCGCTGTCATCGCTACCAGCACCCGCAAAGTCAGAATCGGCCCCAAAGTCGCAGAAATCGTCAAAAACACCATCAGCCAAGACGCCTCCACCAACAAGATTGACCTTGCGCTCGTCGAAGTCGCCAAATTCAACCTACCCGTCTACGATGAAGTCGCCCTTCCCGCCCAGGTGCCTGCCGTTGCCAAATTCGAGCATGCTCACTCCAGCGCGTGGAGCAGTGAGATCGCCAAGTACGACGGGTACATCCTCGTCGTCCCAGAGTACAACTACGGCATGGCCGGTGGTACGAAAAACGCCATCGACTACCTGTACAACGAGTGGATCGGCAAGCCGGCAGCTGTGGTAAGCTACGGCATCGCGGGCGGCAACCGGGCGTCGGAGCAGGTCAAGGGCACGTTGGAGGGCATGAAACTCCGTGTTGCGGCGACCCGCCCGGCGCTGTCATTTGCGGGCGGCGCCGGCCCAGATCTAGTGGCAGCCATTAAAGGCGAGGTTGGAGAAGACTCGCGCAAGGATTGGGAGGCCAAGTTGGAGGATATCCTCAAGGCATTTGGGGAGCTGAAGCAGCTCTTGAGCGAGCCTCCAGCGCCTAAAGCCCCGCTTGCTATTTGATTTCCTGGAAGATGTTGTACATCCTCCATGTTCTCTTTCAGAGCCTGATTTTGTTTTCTGTCTTGAGGAATGTTGATCACCTTACCCAGCGAAGGGCGGAGACCCACCTCGTAATGTCGCTTAACCCCCTGTCAACAGCATCTTGATCCTTCGTGTTAGTGTTGTTCTGCTCTGCTGCCTAGTACCAATGGATTATGACTGCTGTGCCGCATTCTGTGCCGCACGCTCTCGAAATCTAAAAGTTCTCGTGAATCCTTCCAAACGTTTTCCCTCTTTCTTCTCTTCTAGCCATGCATGCATCACAGTCACTCGCTTCTTCCATGCTCAACCTGCCATGAAGTTGTCCGTCGTGTCTGCGGTCGCTCTATGGGCCGCAGCGGTAACAGCTCGAGTCCGTCTACCATTCACCCGGCAGTCTCACCCATTGAGCAGCAACGCCAGACGTCGTGATGATGAACGTCGATCCACCTCAACAGTCGACTTCTTCAGCGCGGACACGGTCTATCTCGTAAACGTCACCGTCGGCACGCCGCCACAGAACATGTCGATGATGCTCACCGTCCAAGCCGGGGAGACATGGGTAGTCAACGCCAACAACTGCGACGAGGACGGATATTCGCTCAAATACGGGTGGTGCAAATACGGCTCCTTCATGCCTAACGAGTCGTCGACATATGTCAACCCCGGCACTGAGACGTTCATGACGAGCTACACCGAAGGCTACGCGTATGGGGAGATCATGAGCGAAACACTGAGCATTGGCGACGTCCAGTTGGGCAAACTCAATATGGGCATCGTTGACACGGCAGACACGTATATTGGCGTACTGGCCCTTGGCTTCAACACGAGCGCGTACACCCCAAGTCCCTACAGCTCCAGCTCAAGTAATACAAGCAGCGAAAGTCTGCCTACCGTTCCCGACCGCCTGCTCACTGATGGCAAGATCAACTCCACCGCGTACAGTCTATGGGTGGATGATCTCTCAAATGAGTCTGGGAGTCTGCTCTTGGGTGCAGTCGACAGGTCGAAGTTTGAGGGCCCGCTCACCCGCTTTCCGATCGTGACTAGCTTCTCGACCTCAAAGGTCTTCAACACTCGGATCCACTCTATCAACGGCAGCAAGTCATCATCGGACGTCTTGGAGTCCTTGGGCAGTCTCGGGACGTCCTACAACGACAAACCTATCGTCCGGATCAGTCCTCACAACATCGCGTCCTGGCTTCCCGATGACATCGCCCAAGATATCTACGCCATCGCAGGCGCGACGTGGCTTGAGTCGCAATCGAACTATGTAGTCCCTTGTTCTGCCAACACCTCAACTGCACAGCTGGCTATCCAGCTTCACGGCTTCGATGGGCCGGTTCTGAACGTGCCGATTTCCGACCTCGTCATTCCAGCTGACTTTTGGTCGTCTAGCAAGTGGTCTTGGGATACTGAGACTGCAACACAGTACTGCCTCTTTGGAGTACAATCAGATAACTCATCGACGTCCTCGACTTCCACCACGTCCGGCAGCTCGAGCTCGACGTACAGCCTCGGCGGCATGATACTAAAGCGCGCGTACATGGTCTTCGACCTCGCCAACGAAGAAATTGCCATCGCGAAAACTAAGTTCGGCGGCGGCACGACTGAAGACGTCATCCCTTTTCCCAGCTATGCTGCAGAGATCCCCGGGTCTACCTCGGTCAGCGTCGTCGTTTCAGTCTATTGTCCCGTGGGCGCGACGTCTGAAGAGTGCGACCCTAATGGATCTGGATCGGGCGATGGCTATGGCTATTACGACTCCGTTGGGCTTTCCAGGGGTGCCAAAATTGGCATTGGCGTCGGCGTCGGCGGGATTTCGCTCATCGTGCTGGCGTTGACGGTATGGGCCGTCATGAGGTGTCGGAGGATCAGGCGTGCAGAAGCGGAGCTGGCTGAGGAACAGAAACGCGCGGAAGAGGGCACGGGAGCAGCTGCCCATACTGGCATTGATAAGGATCTGAATCCTGCAATGTCACAACGACCGCCCGTTGCAGTCAAAGAAAGCACATCGATGAGTGAGTCGGCGCAGGATGTTACGACAACAGGTAACGTCGAGGGGAACAAAGTCGGCCCATCAAGGCCTCAGTGAGGACCACTTGAGTTATGATAGAATATCTTAATGCAAAATTTAATCCCCCCGTGCTTCGTACATGGGGTGTAGTCATACTTTACGGCAATCTTGCCTCTGCCCAATTGTCAGTCTCCAACGTCGATGCCAGATTGCCGGAGTCAGGGGACTGGCGTCAGTCGGTTAGCACGTAACGTGCGAACCGATCCGGAACCTTGCCCGCAGCCAGTCATGGAAAGCGGTGGTAACCGTCTGAACTCGCCATGTGCAACCAGGTAGCATCGAACACTCGCCGAGATCCGGTCAGTGAAGGCCAGCAACTTGGTTCGTCGGCGAGGGAAGATCCTAATCTACCCGGGATGCCCATCTGTCGTCGCCGTTTGCAACGTTGCAGATCTCTCATACCCTCATGAACCGTACGGATGGACTCAAAGTTGCAAAAGCAGGCGCGGATGCCACTCTGTAATATGCACAGAATCAGATGGCAGCAGCTCATCTGGCGAAAGGGGCCCCCTGAAGGGCAACCCTTTTGGAGATCAGGGGGCGGGGCGGGTGATGCGCCGGTGCCCGTCTTATCAGATCTCCACCTTCCGGAAGGATAATAACTTCCGTAGGATTGTTGGAGGTGGGTGGAAGACGGGGTAACCCCGACGCCGAATAAGGATTTGTTGGAAGTGTTGTTGGTTGCCGTTGTCGCGCTATTTTCCGAATGCCGCCTTCTCGGCTCTAGTCAACATGATATCTGTCTCAGCAACTCAGTAGTAAAGGAAAGAAATCCAGTTTACGTCAGACTTCTGGAAGAACAACTGCCGCGATAAGCCGACATACGGCTCCAGCAGATTCGTCCAAATGGCAGCATGTGCTCACGTTAGTCCTGTCCGAAAAGAGCGATAAGAGCCAGGGATGGAGGGTCACATTCGGCCCCGACTCGGTCATTCGCTGTCAACTCACCAAATTCGGGGCACATGGCCCTTCAAGGGTAGCTCTTGAAGAATGCAAGACGTTCAGCCAATCTGGCGGCGTCGCTGGACATGCTAGCAGAGGAAAAGACCGGCTACACCTGCATTAGCTCCGTCGCTTCACCTTGCGCCAACCACTCACCGGGCACCATCACCAAGTCCTCACCTATGGTGTTGGCGGCGCTCCACCATGCACACACACGCGCGTACACACACACACATACAAGCGAAATTCCACGCGAGATTCACAGTGCGCTGGTGCAGCCAATATGGGCGTGCGAGGCAAGTCATCCTTTGGTGGGTTGATGGCACGCTAGACCACACGCTTGACGGATCACTGTCAAATTGGTTGTAACCATCTAAGCGTGACGCGAGCGACAAGACCACGATGCCTTCACGCGCCTCGTGGAAATTGCGCTGCGAATTCTTCACAAGCCAAAAAGCTGGCAGGATTGGCCCAGGGGAGTTGAGAGTTTGATTGGCAGAGAACGTAACGTTTCGCATGTAACTCGAGCACGCACGATTTTCAGATGACAGATGTGGTCGGAGGCAACAATGGCTTTGTGTCTCTAGTTCTCCCATTGTTTCGTGGGTGAGATCTTGGGTAGCGCATTGTCTAACTTCACCGGACAGAATTAGTATAATATGATCAGTTGATCGCCTCAAGTCCAGTGACGTTTAGTTGAGGTGCGGCACAGCCTTTTTCTTACACTCCTTCTATAGACTATTTAATAGCTTCCTCTTAATTTCGGTCAAGATGAGGTTCTTCCGCTCCTTAGTTGCTATCGCTAGCATCATGTCTCCCGCAATCCGTCTCACCGAGGCCTCACCGGTCAACCTCACCACCCGAGGCCTGAATGGCTACACCAACGCTGTCTACTTCACCAACTGGTATGTTGTCACCTATGATCGAGACAACTTGTTGTATGCTGAGTCACATTCAGGGCCATTTATGGACGCAACTATCAGCCGCAGGATCTCCCTGCATCTCAGATCACGAACGTTCTCTACGCGTTCATGAACCTGCGGGATACTGGAGAGGTGTAAGTCCCTTCGATGTCGAGAAGTATTGATAGTTGATCGCCGGTATGTGACATTTTTGAGGTCTATTTAACTGATATGTTACAGTTACACCGCAGACACATACTCTGATTTGGAAAAGCATTATGCCTCCGACTGTAAGCCCTTATGTATCTTGAAACCTGCCGGACAGCTTATCTCACTACTGCTCACTAGCCTGGAACGATGTCGGCACAAACGCGTACGGCTGCGTCAAGCAGCTCTATCTCCTGAAGAAAGCCAATCGCCGAATGAAAGTCATGCTCAGCATCGGTGGCTGGACCTGGTCTACCAACTTCCCAGCTGCTGCCAGCACTGCAGCAGGCCGATCTCTCTTCGCGTCGTCATCGATCACGCTTATGAAAGGTATGCATCTACTGCGCCACATGGATATGACAGTGATTAACATACGATGACAGACTGGGGATTTGATGGAATTGACGTGGACTGGGAGTACCCTGCCACGGCTACCGATGCAGCCAACTTCGTCTTGCTTCTTCAAGAGATCAGAAGCCAGCTGGATGCCTATGCTGCGCAGTACACCCCGGGCTACCACTATCTTCTTACTGTCGCATCGCCCGCGGGGCCTGACCACTACAACGTCATGCAGCTAAAGGCCATGTCTGATATCATCGACGCCTTTAACCTTATGGCCTACGACTATGCCGGATCCTGGGATGCGAACAGCGGCCACCAAGCGAACCTCTTCCCGAACCCAGCGAACCCCACCGCCACCCCCTTCTCGACCGACAAGGCCGTGAGCGACTATCTCGCCGCCGGCGTCCCCGCCTCCAAGATCGTCCTCGGGATGCCCATCTATGGCCGTTCTTTTGAGCAGACGAACGGCATCGGTCAGCCGTTCACCGGCATCGGCAGCGGATCATGGGAGAACGGCGTGTGGGACTACAAGGCACTTCCTCGTGCGGGTGCCACAGAGCTGTACGATGCGACCGCAGTGGCGTCCTACAGCTACGACTCCAGCGCTAAGGAGCTCATCTCCTACGACACACCGGCTGTGGTGAAAACCAAGGTCTCTTACCTGCAAAGCAAGGGCCTTGGAGGGTCAATGTTCTGGGAGGCCAGCGGGGACAGGACCGATGACGCTAGTCTGATGAAGACCAGCTTTGATGCTCTGGGTGGCAGTGCCGCGCAGGATTCGAGTGAGAACCAGTTGAGCTACCCGAACAGCAAGTACGACAACATCCGCGCGGGAGTGCCTGGGGGCTGAGGACTTGTTTTTTGTCTATGGTAGGGGGATATCGAACGAGTTTCATCGCTTTCCTTAGCTTGCTTTCTTTGCATCCAGTGTGGCATTTTCTTAGGTTTCCGGTGTGTCTCTGGACACAGAGTCATTGCACGAATCCGGCTTCTATCACTGTACATACTTAGGAAGAGTTTCATCATACCCACAGTCGCTCTTGAAACTATATAAACTTCTGCATTAAATATCTAAAAGAATGCATCTTCACCCATGTTTGTACACCTGCCAAAAGAAGTTGGATTTCTCGCCTTGCCTAATATGAAGGCTTCTGTCCATACACCACATAGCTTGAATGACGATTAGCCCTGAGGTTGGTGACGAAGACTGTAACAGGGGAGGAAAAGCTACTTACTAGTTGAGATAGGCATGGTAAGTTTTCTTCTCAAGTTCTTGGCGAACTTCATCCAGAAGATTCTGAACTGCTTCTTCGGTCCACCCGAGAACACTTCGGAAGAGCTTCAGCGTGAACGCGTCAAGACCTTCGAGCGTCTGAATCAGATTACACCAGCCGAGGTCTTTCATATGAAGGTCTTTGGGCCAAGGCCCGAGGGGGATCTTGAAATGATGACATCTGACGTTAGTGAAGGGTGCCTGTCTTATCCAGCCCTCCAATTTCGGGCCTGGGGAGTGTTCGCGACCGAGCATATCACAGGCTTGCATGAAAAGCCGGTCCCACCGCATGAGTGCATGCTCCTCTGTCAACGTGCCATCGTCGCATGCGTAGAGCACGCTCATGTCGGAGAACTCGGCCCAGCCGTTAGGCTCAAGATTACTTTCATGGTGAGTTGTGTTAGATATTCATTGTGCCATGGACATGTGTTCATCGGCTCGGATGTGATGACTTACTCGTAAACTCTCCCTACCAATGTCGGCCAGTCGCGCAGAGAGCATGCCATGTAGCGGACGTGGATGAAGTCAAAAGGCGCATCCATGTACCATGCACTTTCGACGTCGTCGATCTCGAACTTGCAGTTCTGCGGAACCCTGTTCGCCAGTCAGCCTCCCTTATTGAATGACAAGATACGGCATGAGTACCATTCTGGTTGAATCGGACTGAGGTCGTTCCCAATAACCTGTGCGTGTGGAAAGACGTCGGCAACCTCGATGGCCCCTTCAGTTTATGTTAGCCTTCGTATGAACATAAGAGTTCCTTTCCTTTAAATGCGCGTAGACGACTTATTGTGATACATACAGGTGCCGGTTCCGGTTCCCACATCGAGAATGCGGTGCATTTTGTTGTGATTCACTGGAGCCAAAAACCACCGCCACCCGATGGTTTTTGAAATCAGAGTATGCATGAGATCTAGTCGTTTGATCTCTCCCTGGAGTAAATTTGCCGTAGCCTCAAGTCAGTGAAGGGGGGTAGGGGGGTTGGGGTTGTGGCAGGTTAGGGGGCCACGGAAACGGACCTCATCATTGGGGAAATTGTATGCTGTCCCTGGTCAACCACTCGCCCACGACATTGACGATGATCACGGCCGGCTCAGAATGAGAACTTACATCCTTCTCGGTATGCGTGATACCGCCGACCGTATTCTTTCTTGAAGTTTTTCACGCTCTCCGTCATAGACTTCGTGTACGAGGAGCTGCATTAAGTCATCAGCGGCTGCCTACATCGAGCCTGGGTCTTGCAGCTTCAGTCTCCGGCGGGATGAAGGGTACCTACATGCGGTCGTCAAAGTCCATGGTGGAATCGGCTAGCTGCGCAACCGTTAGTCTGCGCATCTCAATCGCTAGTCGCGAGTTCTATTGGCACACGAACACTGTCAATGTCATCGACCTCCACCGCGTCCGACTCCTCGGCATTCGTCGGCGGGTCTAGCTCCATTTGATCCGGTGCATAGCCCGTCGCGCGGCCTGCCGATGGGTTGTACATCTTGCGTCAAGCGAGCCAAGTCTTGGGACAACTGACAGATCGTTCGCTGCTGCTGAGGCTGGAAGATTGAGTGAGAAATAGAGTTTCGCAGGATGAGAGAACTGGGCCGCGGATTCATGGGGTGATTGATTTGAAAAGGGACGAACCCCGCAGGCCGGCGGCTAATGGTCCACGGTGTTTGTTGGAACGTTGTAACGGCTGCGCCGGGCGTGCCTGGGCTTGTCGTTGACCAGGGTGCGAGTGGATCTTCGCAGTCGTTGCGAGAGCAGTACTGGCTGTTGGGACGTGGAATCACACAAGCATCACGAATGACAACATGTGCATCATAGACTCAAAGCGCAACTATTGAAACTGTTGAACTCACAATAGGGGTCTCCCTGTCAGAAGAATCTACTCACATATCCATCTGCGCTCACCTTTGATCGCATTTGGAGTATGGTTCACAGACCGCGGTGAGCTATAACACTTGTTGGTGCTCGGCGAATGTGACAACCTAGCTGTTGGTGCAAGCTGTTGGTGCAAGCTGTTGGTGCAAGCTGTTGGAACCGGCAGCAAACATTACTCACCTGACCAATTATCATCGGAGAAAGTCGCAATCTCCCCTGTATCTGCAGCCTCAATTAAACGGTTTCCCCCAAAATGTGTTTGAACAGGGATTGCGGACCCGGGTGGGATTTAATGCCTGTCGGTTCGCAATGTTTGCGATCTTTTCACCAACTAGCCAACAAGTCACCAGCGAAAAGTGTGACGAGTCCTTGTCGGGCGGCTAGTTACCGACCAAAATCTTGTGCGAGACCCCTTCGTCGGCTACGTACGAGCCTCCGTCTGTTTAAGCGCATTGCAACTACCGCTAACTCTACCCGTTGGTTGATGATTTGGTCTTTGCCTCAACGTTCTGCACTTCGTCGCTTTGGTCGCAATGCCAAAATTTCAAAGAGTACTAATTTACCATCGATACTCATCATCACAATTCCGCAACGAGAAAACCTCACACTAACCTTGCGTCTGCTCGCCATATAGGATTCGTGCTGTTTCCCACGGTCCGCCTCCTCTTCCCGGTGAGACCACGCTCATAGGCTCGGTTTAGAAAGAGATGTTTATGGTGGTGATTTGAAAGAGGGATGGTTCATAACCTTTGCTCTGAGGTCAACCTCCAGCTTCCGAGACATTATTCTGGGAAACTCGAACAACAAGACGCCCCGACAGACGAGACTACAGAGGAGATATCGGCCCACAACCCATATAGCATCCGTGACACCCACGAAAACGATGCTAGACAGACAAATAACGCCGAACGGAACTTGTACAACATTCACAACGTAAATCACGCCCAGGCCAAATGTGAGAAGCTTGCTTGAAGCGACGACTTTCTCGGAGTTTTCGCCCCCGTATGCGTTCCGAACGTCCACGTTGTCATTTTCGCTGGACAACTTGAGTTCTGACCTGCACCATCTCGCGAGCAGTCTCGTTCATTGGGGACAAGTTTGGTCTATATTGTTACGTCGGAAGATGAATACCCAAGCAATGGTGTGGTCTGCTATGCACGGTAGCGTCCAAACTCGAGGAAATCCCGGCGTCCAAGGAGTGAATGTGCATATGGCGCGATAGTTCAACTGGTATGTCGTGAATAGATTGGGAAGAAACAAGGAACTGACCAGACCATCCTGCAATGTCAGTATGAAAAGAATGCCGACCAGTCTTGCGATAGAATTCGGTATTTCTAACAGTACACTCTCATTCGAATATCATCGCAAGACTGCCGTATTCCATTTTTGACGTTCCCTGAATTTGATCAATTTATTTGCGAGGCCCTTCACGGATGAGCAAGTCATCGCTGCTGATAGCCTAGGCCCCCGAGGTGCTCGAACGGCCGTTGGCTCAAATTACAAATATGAGGACGTTATTTTCGCGAAGACATCTTGTCGCCAATAGCGGACCTAAGCAGGAGTGGCTTGCAAGATTCGGATCAGCATTAAAATGTCATCGCAGTTGGCGCCGATGGGAGACTCCTCAGATCCCGCTTGTTGCAAGGCTTCGTCAAGGAAGCATCCATCGCCATGTCTTCTGATGGTTGATGAGAGCTCAAGCGTTGTTAAAGGGTCAGCACTGCCCGGATCCCGTCCCTATCCGGCGCCGGCTTTCAATAGCAAGATCGCACACAACTCCCACCGATCTCGTCGCCCAGATTGATCCAGATCGGAACGTCAATCAGGCGAAAAATTGACCCGAAAAATTTCACGTCGCCCAATGGACATTGCATGTTGGAGAAAAAGCAACTAATTGGGATGCAATCAACCCCTGAACTGCCGTGGGTGCACGACCACGTGTAACAGCGCAGGCCAATCCCACAGCGAATCAGCCCCTGAAGCGTGGCGTCACACGGGGCGCAAGACTCAATCTGAGCCACTAGGAATTTAAACCACAGACGCGTCTCCCATCCAACAGCTTCGGGCGTGTTTCAACCGCGTCATTTTCTTTGTGCCTCACTCATTCTGACAACTTCATCGTCGACTCCCCCGCCTATATTTGACCGAGCAAGAACCCAACGTCGCAGCATCTTGTCATCTGACATACGACTGCACATATAAAACCACGACCCGGCAAGGGAATCTCGTAACCCGCACCATCCGCCAAAGAACAGCGCAGCCCAAGCCGGCGACGACTCCAAAGATGGACCCCCTGTGGTTGGCCCCGCACGACCGGGACGAGCGCTCCTGCAAAGGCTGCGGCAACTACGGCAAGCACATCGACATGTTCGGCTACTACTGCGCCGTCTGGGACCGCAACATGGCCGTCGCGGGGCGCACCATGGCCGAGCGGGCCTTCGCGCGCGCGGAGCGCATGCTCGCCGCCGCGCAGGAGGGCGTCGACGCCTGGGAGGAGCAGATCGAGGCGCAGGACGCGCTGGTCGACTCGCTGCGCGAGGCCCTCGACGCCGCGGAGGTGCGCCGCGAGGACCTCGACGAGAAGCTGGCGGCGCAGCAGGCGCTGTGCGAGCGCGCGGAGCGGCAGAAGATGGCGCTCATCGACGTCATGCGCGCGGCGGAGTATCGCGAGGAGGCGGAGGCTGCGGCGATGGAGAACGCGGGCGAGGAGGCGGGGAACTTTGACGCGGAGATGGAGGGGCCGGAGCGCGTGCAGGCGCTGGATCCGCATTTCTGGGAGGCCGGGACGGAGTGGTGGGATGAGGAGACGGATGACGAGCCGGAGGAGCTGAGCTTTGAGCAGTCGACGGCGTATTATGCGTGGGAGCTGGCGTACAAGCGGAGGATCGCTGGGCGTAGGACGCATGAGGCGGAGCGGCAGCATGGACGGCGGAAGCGGGTGGAGCGGCAGCTGTACGTGGAGAGGAGGGTGCGCGAGGCCGAGGCAGCTGGGAGGATGATCGATGCAGATCACTGTGATCACCTTGTGCGCTCGCACATCCGGGCGAGGGAGCAGCAGGGCAGGCAGCACGCAGCTCGGGAGTACGCCCAGGAGCAGAGGCAACGGCTGAGTCGGGTGGAGGCGTGGGCTGCCGGCGTGCAGACGCCTACGCCGGGCCCGTCGGTGAAGCAAGAGGACGAGCTGTCGGAGCTGCATTCGCCGGCCATGTTATCGCGGGTTTCGGTCAAGCGGGAGGGCACAGGCGAGGATCTGTGGCGGGTCGCTTCGGCTGTGCCGGATCGGACGGACGTGAAGCAGGAGATGAAAGTCGAAGAGGACATGGGGGAGGATCCGGAGGAAGAAGAGGAAGAGGAGGAGGAGGAGGAGGAAGTAGAAGTGATGACGAGAGCGCCAAAGAAGGAGGAGCCGGAGCCAGAGTCGGAGCCACAGCCCGGGCCAAGCCGGAGTATCCCCGCGACTCCCCGTGCCCCGGCTTCTCCAGCTGCCTCCGGCCGGCCACAGCGAACGACCCGGCGGACACGGAGGACGCAGCCGTATCCGAGTTGAGGGGAATGGCAGGACGAACAAATGATGAGACCTATGTGGGACGAGATATTTTACTACACATTTTCGAGCGAGAATACCACAAAACAGTCAATATCAGTCATATTCCTCCGGTCAGCCACCCGCCAAATGTTCAAGCGCTATTACTGTATCATTCTTCAGTAAATACCCAGCGTCGATGATGGCCGAACTAGTGTACGAAAAACCAAGGAGGAGCATGGTTCAGTTCGATCGATTGGCGTGCTTCCAAAAGCACAGGCGACTAGCAAAAGAAAGCACAATCCCGGCTCTTTAGCTTCCAACCACGCACCATATGCTCGCATGGCCCGAGTCTCACTCGGGAGCGGGAGCGGGCCGGCGGGGCCACATATGCACCGTCGCATCCGCCGCCGGCGCCGGGAATGCACACGCAAACCGCAGAACGAAACGAACACTGTGCGCACTGTTTGCAAACCCTCTTGAATATTGCACAAAACTTATCAAACACATCTTCTTTATGAATTCCACCTTGCGGAGCTTCAGACCCAAGAAAACCCCGTTGGAGCGGACCTCCTGACCCCCTTCTCGCCTCGGAGCTATCCCTGTCACAGGACCCTGCCAAATCCCAGGGTCGTCGGACCAGGTAGGGGTGCTCTGCTCCAGGACCTCGTTTCCTGGACGCCGCAGCCGAAAGTGCGAGTTTCTTCACCCCAGCAAGAACCCGCCGTATCCGTAAAACGGGGCTCACCTGAAGACGCCTTGCCGCTTTGGGAAGTAATCTCGGTGGAGAGCTACCCAAAACCTAACAGATTTTATGTAAATTCTGGGGCCTCGTCTTATGGAGATCATCAAAAATATCCTTTTGTTTTCTTCTTCTGACGGAGCAACGGCGGCGCTGCAAGTTGCAACGGGTGTGCGTCCCCCCCCCCCCTCCCCCCATGCAACTTGTGCAACGAATCGGCAAAGAAGGCGGCCCCAATGAAACAGTGGAGGTTCTAGAAGTTCTCTGGTCTGTCACTCGCCCGTTCTGTGTGTCTTGAACATGCCCACCCGGAATGTCAGGGTCGCATGCGTTCCGGCAGGCCGCGCAGTAGTGTTGGGAGTTTATTACCAGGCCGCCGGGAGCGAGGAGGAGCTGCCGGGTGACATGGCTTGCGAGTCGTGTGTGCTTCGGCGTACATACGTATGCAGCACGCATCATCGCGTGACGTGACGGATTTGTGAAAGATGTCGGTGAGGCAGGAAGAAGCATTCATTACTCGCCATCACTGGAGCTGCACATGCACAGCTGGAGTCAATTGCAAAGAGTCGGTCAAGCACAAATCCCTCAAACTCGTATCACCAGAGCATCACAAGTTTGTTCAGTGCGAAATGTGCTTCTTTCATACGTAGCAGGGACCAAACTTTTCGAACCCAAGGTTCCGGTAAAACTCATCTGGCATATACTAGATGGAGCTCCAATATCCGTCATCGCTAACTCGTAACGAGCCCAAGCTATCCACACTTTGGCTGGCTCTGCCCAACCCCTGGCCTGCTTGCACAAGAACCCACCGCAAATCTTTCGAAGCGGGCACGGCGAAGGAAAAAAAGAGGATCGTGACCCTTTTTTCCTCTGCTGCTGTTGGTGGGCAGACGTCAGAACCCCGGCATCGTTGCCAATGAACGCTGCGCCGTTTCGCGAGGTTCGATTGCTTTTTGAACCTGACACCATCCCCATCCATTCCCATGGGCCCCCTTCCCCTCCCCCATTTACCACGTTTTTCCCGCCGTCCACCTTTGATCCCTACATTTGCTTTTGCATTCTGGACTATCTCGTGATAAACCCATCTCCACCGCAGAGGCAAGATCGATCTTGGAGATTCACAAGAAACCTGACAAAAGAGAGGTGAGGCAGATTGTCAATCTTCCGGATCCCCTCCCCTGCCTAGCTCTCTTAGGGCTGGACATGGGAATGGGAGATGGTTGCCGTCATTGAGAAGCTTGATTGCTTACACTACAATGCCACAGCCACACCGGGTCCCCTCCTCCCCCGACGGACAGGGACGGAAAGCATTGAAGCAAGCTCGAGCAAAGCACGAACATACGCCTGATCCGACCAGACCGGAAGACCGAGATTGGAAACATCAACACACCGGAAAAGTGCGGGACGGGCAAGCACGGGACAACATACAATCACCGACCCGAGACACAAGCCGGTCCGGCCTCAAAGCCGGCCATGGACCCCGACGCCTGCCGCAACTGCGGCCACTCGGGCAAACACACCACCTTCCTCGACCACCGCTGCGCGATCCACGAGCGCGACGACGCCGAGCGCGACAAACTACAAGCCGACGCCGCCCTCGAGCGCGCGCGCTCCCTCTGCGAGACGTCCCTCACCCTGATGAAGCGGCAGATGCAGGAGCTCGAGGACGCCAACGAGGCCATCGAGGCGCTTGCGGCTGCGCTCGCGGCAGCCGAGGACCGCCGCGAGAGGGTCCGCCGCGACCTCGGCGCGCACGGCGACGTGTGCCTGACGGCGCGGTCGAACCTCGAGGCCGCGGAGGAGATGGCCATCGCGGCGGCGGGGCGGTACTTTGAGGCGGGAAGGGCGGTCAGCGCGCTGGAGGAACAGGAGGCGTTGGAGGCGAAGAGCAGTGAGCCAAGCTGGGAGCGGGAGCAGCCACAAGAGGATGGGGAGGGTGAGGAGGAAGAGGGGGATGCGAGGAGGTGGCAGCGGAGTAACGAGCGGTTCTGCAAGTGGTTGAGGCAGAGCGAGGCGCAGCGGCAGATTATGAAGTCGTCGTGGACGAAGCTGCGCGTCGCGGAGCGGCTGGCGGGCGAGGGCGCGGAAGTGGATGAGGAGCAGGTTGCAAGGGAGAGAAGGGTGCAGGAGTGGGCGGCGGCGCGGCGCAGCGATCTGCCGCCGGACGAGGACCCGACGCTGGTCACGGAGGAGGGCGCCGAGTCGGAGCCGGCGGCGCCGGTGGTAGCTGTGGCGGTGGCCGTGCCGCCTACGCCTGCGGCGACGAGGTCCGGGGCCGCGAGGCGGGCTGCTGCGCCGGCGCCGCTGAAGACGCGCGGCCGGAGCGGGAGGACTGCCGCTGCTGCTGCGCCGGTGACTGCGCCGCCGTCGCCGACGAAGACGACGACCACGACGACGGGGAGGGCGCTGCGGACGGCGAGGAGAGTGGAGAGCCAGACAAGGTCTGAGCCGAGCAGGCCTACGACGGCGACGAGGGCGAAGAAGGAGCCGGTGACGGCAAATCAGAAGGCTGCGGCGACGAGGGTGACGAGAGCGGCGAGGACGGGGAAGACCGCGGCGCCCGCTACGGAAGCGGCGGCAGCGCACGGGGCGAGTGCCGGGAGCTCCGGGGCGCTTTCGGCGTCTGGGAGGCCGCAGAGGGTTACGAGGAGGAGGAGCAGGGTGCAGCCGTACCCGACGCCGGCGGCGCAGCCGAGATGGAAGTAGATGAATATTGGTGGTCATAGTTGTAGATTGTGTTGTCTTTATATACCCAGTTCGTTCGACCGGGGCAGGGTTGGGGGGCACCGGAGTTGAGGGATTGAATGATACACGCGGAGTTTAGATACCAAAATTTAGACTGAATATTCTCTCATTTATTTCATGACATCTACACTGCTTTGATCAAGTGAGATGAAGATAAGCCTCCAACATAGTGATGGTATCTAATCAGCATCATGATAAGCAACACTTGAGATTACTTAAACCCCATGGCGTCATCCAACCCATCCATCGCGACATGCAACTCTAAAAGAACCTCCACACCGAGTCCGCGCCTCTCTTCTTCTTGAAGCCGCTGTACCACCTACACAGCGGGTACATCACGCTCATCACAAACGCCCAGTTGAGCGCCCACACCCACACATTGTCCACCCCCGTCGCGGGCCGTCCGTCCGGCGGCGGCGGCAGCCCCGTGTCGCGCCCGATGAGCGCCACCAGCAACAAACACATGCTCATGAGGATGACCATGTGCACCACGTAAAAGAACAGCGCCGACGTCCCGAACGCGAGCAGCACGCCCAGCCACCGCGTCGCGAACTTGGGCGGCACGACCGAGAAGGCCGCCAGCAGGAAGAAGGTGCCGGCCAGGGTGAAGCAGTAGAAGGCGACGTCGGGCGGGTACTTTACGATGTAGAAGAAGGACGCCGGGGACGCGAGGTACGGGTTTGTCGCGGGGTGGGCGAGGTGCTCGGGCGCGCGGAGGCAGTGCTCGGAGAGGTTGCCGACGCGCAGCAGGCGGGTGAGGACGAAGGCGGCGAGGAAGAGGAGCCCGGCGGTGATGTTGGCGCAGACTTGGGTGGCCACGGGGAGGTGCGGGCGGGCGGTGACAAGGCGGGCGTAGAGGAGGCCGAGGATGGCGAAGGAGAGCCAGGCGAGGGGCGGGAAAGGGGAGACGACGTGCGGGGAGATGACTTCGAAGAACCAGAAGCGCCAGAAGTCGTTGGCGGAGGAGGTGGTGGCGGTGGTGGTGCAGGTGCCGTGGGTGGGGGAGAGCCAGATGTTCCACCAGATGGTGACGAGGGAGAGGGCGAGGAGGAGGGCGTTGTGGGCGTGCCAGGAGATGGTGGTCGCTTTGGAGGAGGGTTTGGTGCCGGAGGGGGTGTGGTGGCCTGCGTGTTCAAGGAGAGGTTCTCTCTCGCGGCCGCCTTCGTCTGTGAAGATGTACCGGTCGAGGAGGGCGGCGAGGGCGGGCTCCGTGGCCGCGATACCGAGCCAGAGCAGCCCAGCAAGGACATAGTCCACCCCCAGCGCGACGAGGACGACGTTCATGAACCAGAACCTGCCACCCGTGAGCACGAGCCCGAGGACGACGGAGACCAGCGTCAGCACGGCGCCGCGGACGGCGAAGTGGCGGGCCATGCGGGCGGCGGACCAGCCGAGCTTGCTGCGGGAGCGGCCGAAGTAGACGACGCCCATGCCGAGGAGGAACGTGAAGCCCGGGGCGCACAGGTGGGAGAGGGTGCGGACGAGGTAGCCGAACCACCAGTTCCAGGAGTCGACGGGGACGGAGTCGCGCTCGCCGTCGGGCGGGCCCGTGGAGTGGCGCCAGGCATTGAGGCCGACGGTGTTGTGGTCGAAGGCCATGAAGAGCATCAGCAGGCCGCGGAGGAGGTCCGGGGCGAGGGCGCGCTGGGGCGCCGGGACGACGGGTTTGGGTGGTGGTGATGGTGTGGTGTTGTATGCGTAGCCGTTGGAGGCTGTCTCTGCGCCGGAATCATGGCCGTTGGACTGGGCCTCGTGCCCTGGTGCGGACTCTGGAGGCGGCGGCATCGTGGTGTTCGGGTGTTGGACTATCGTGGGAACATCACGAAAGGGAGGTGAAGGTGAGAAGAAGAAAACGGTGCTTATTTATGGAGAATGGGCTCCGAGGGAATGGAAACTGGGGACGTTGCCCAAAGGTCCAAAAAGTCCGAGCCGCGCGCGGTGTCTTAGCGTGGGCGCGGTGGACTTTGGGCGGCGGACTGTTGAATGGATGACGTTCGCTTTATTCAGCACATCTGGGGAAACGCGGTTTTCAGTGTCTCAGGGGTGGGCGGACTAATGTATTTCGAGTCATCCCAAGTCCACCTAAGAGAGGGACATAGGGCTGCATTGTTGATGGCTATGGGGGTTTACAAGTTCAATGTTGCACATCTAGCCCTGGTTCTTGTCAACTGGTCCTGTCTTAATTGGATCTTCCTGCATACGGATAACCCTGTTCGTGGTCTTCCTCGGAGACTTTTAGCTTCTGTCATCTCGTTCAAAGACGCGCTCGGTGCGTCAGACGGAGCAACCGGAGCGTCCGGCCGACTGGGAGAAATTTGCCGCTGACCAATTGAATTCCGCCTCGCCGGCGCAGAGGCATTCAGGGGGCTGCTTACTGCGGACTTTGGTGTGAGAAATCCTTTGTGATTTTACATTGACTCGTTCCTTGGTCGAGGAAGATTTCTTCGATAAGACGGCGTATCCCATTTCGCCTAATACTTTATTAGTGTATGTGTCGAAACCTCTTCTTGTAGAAGATCATGTTCAGCTGTGGGTGGGTGGTATTTCCTACTATGTCTCTTGGACAGAGCATAAATAATGGAAGCTTCAAGACGCTGGCCCACATGTCTCGACTGAAGACAAAAGTACAGTGATTCAATTAGTCATAGACTCCCCTTACCTTCATCTTTGCGGCAGCATTCAATCTTCATTCTTGAACAGGCGCAACATCCTTCCAAGATGTTAAACGCCCGGCCCGAGATAAACCTTGCCGCACCACGCTCTTATCGGCCCTCACCTTACCCTCCGGCCTCCCCCCTCCCGGCCTCTCTTCCGAACAGCGGGGCCCCGGCCAGCCCATATCTCCCGATTGAGCAATCTTTAGCACCCCATTGGTGAAGCCATCCGGAGAACATGTTAGCTCCAAAGTCGTCATCGCCTGGCGCTGTCACCCCTCACTGCCAAAATGCGGAGGGCCCCGCCAACACCAGCCGTTCCGAGTTCCGACCTCCGCGATGACCCCCCACTCGGATCTTCAACAGCTTGAATCGCGGGGTGATAAATGAGCCCCTTGAACCGCAGATGTTCACGATGAGCTGCCTCTACAAGTGAACTCTCTTCACATCAACCCGTCAAAATGGCTGACAAGACAGACACCGAAGCAATCCTAAAGAGCCTCACGCTCGAGGAAAAAGTATCTCTCTCTCTCTCTTACCCATCTCACAAAACATTTCACTCACCTTTACCAGATCCGCCTCCTCGCCGGCCGCAACTTCGTCGAAACAGGCGACATCCCCTCCAAAGTCCCCGCCATCAAAACCACCGACGGGCCCAACGGCACCCGCGGCGCCGCCATCGACGGTAGCACCAAGGCCGCCTGCTTCCCCGCCGCCTGCAGCATCGCCGCCACCTTCGACCGCCGCCTCGCCCGTGCCGTCGGCGCCGCTCTCGCCCAGGAGTCCCGCGCCAAGGGCGCCCGCTGCCTGCTCGCGCCCACCGTCTGCATCCACCGCCACCCGCTCGGCGGGCGCAACTTCGAGTCCTACAGCGAGGATCCGTTTCTGGCCGGCAAGCTCGCCGCGGAGATGATCACGGGCTGTCAGGGGTTGGGTGTCTCGGCGACGATTAAGCATTTTGTGGCGAACGAGCAGGAGACGGCGAGGACGACGGTCGACGAGACGATTTCGGAGCGCGCGTTAAGGGAGATTTATCTGAGGCCGTTTGAGATTGCGGTGAAGGAGGCGAAGCCCTGGGCGGTTATGTCGGCGTATAATCTGGTCAACGGGGTGCACTGCGACTCGAGCGAGTGGCTGCTGAAGGAGGTGTTGAGGGGGGAGTGGGGGTGGAAGGGGCTGGTGATGAGCGACTGGGGCGGGACGAACTCCGTCGCGGAGGGGATCAAGGCCGGCTTGGACATTGAGATGCCCGGCCCGCCGAGGATACGTAAGCCTGCTGCCGTGCTGGCGGCGGTCGAGAAGGGGGAACTCACGGAGGATGTGATTGACGAGCGGGTGCGCACGATCATGGAGTGGACGGAGCATTTGAACGGGTTCCGCGATCCGACCATCACCGTTGAGAAGGCGATCGACCGGCCGGAGCACCGCGCCCTCATCCGCGATGCCGGGGCGCGGGGCATCGTGCTGCTGAAGAACGAGGGCGGGATCTTGCCCCTGACGAAGGAGAAGGTCAGGGGCAAGAAGATCGCCTTGATCGGGTACGCCAAGGACGGTCTTGCGCACGGCGGCGGAAGTGCGAGCGTGAATGCGCATTACCGCCTCCCGCCATGGGACGCGCTGCACTCTGCTCTCGGGGAGGACGTCGAGTTCACCTACGCCAAGGGCGCGCATAAAGAGCGCCTCCTCCCGCCCATTAGCGCGGACGGCCGGGTCGGTAAGATTGTTGGCCTCGACGGCCAGCCCGGGTTCAGCAGGCTGTTCTACGACTTCCACGGCCAAGCGGGCGACGAGCCCGTCTCGGTGCTGCACAGCTACCCGAACTCGGCGTACTCGCCGCTCGGCTCGCAGGAGTCGATGTGGAAGACGCTTGATATCGTTGGTGACTTCACGCCGGCGGAGTCGGGGACGCATTACATCGCCTGCTCCGGCATCGGGCCCACGCAGGTGTTTGTCGATGATGAGGTCGTGTTTGAGCAGACGGGTAACTGTGCGGATCCCATGGGCGCGCTCTTCCTTGCGGCGAACGAGCCGGAGATTAGGCATGCTTTCGAGGCGGGCAGGACGTACCGCCTGCGCATCCACAGCAAGCCGCCAACGAAGATTGGACTGGAGATCCTGGAGGGCAGGACGGGTGTGAGGATGGGCTTCGCGCTTGAATCGGATCACGACGCAGATTTACAGGGCGAGGCGGCGAAGGTTGCTGCCGCCGCGGACCTTGCAATCGTATTCACAGGCCACGATCCGCAGTGGGAGACCGAAGGACGCGACCAAGAATCCTTCCACCTCCCCTGCGACCAAGACGGGCTGATCGGCGTCGTGGCGAAAGCGAACAAGAACACGATCGTGGTCAACTCCACCGGCGTCGCGGTAGCGATGCCCTGGCTGGGCAGCATCTCCGCGCTGGCCCAGTCCTGGTTCCCGGGCCAGGAGTGCGGCAACGCCATCGCGGACGTGCTCACGGGCGCGGTGAACCCCGAGGGTAAGCTGCCCGTCAGCTTCCCGGCGCGGGTCGAGGACGCGCCTGCGCACGGGAACTTCCCTGGCGAACGTGTCGACGGGCAGCTGAGGGTTACGTATGAGGAGGGCGTGTTTGTGGGGTACAGGCACTACGACCGCGTTGAGAAGTCCAAGGTGAACTATCCCTTTGGCTTTGGGTTGTCGTACACGAGCTTCGAGTACGCCAACTTCGCTGTGGCCAAGAAGGGCAGAGATCAGTTCGAGGTCAAGGTGGATGTCACTAATACTGGCAAGCTTGAGGGCGGCGCGGTGGTGCAGGTTTATGCTGGCAAGGCGGCTCCATCCCCGGATACGCCAGTAAAAGTGCTTGTTGCGTTTGACAAGGTTCGACTTGCGCCGGGTGAGACGACTTCTGTGCAGCTGTCTGTCGCGGCGAAGGATTTTGCATCATTTGACGAGGCGAGGCGGGAATGGGTTGTTAAGGCTGGAGAGTACAACTTCATCCTCGGCGAGTCCGCAGCTGAGACAGTCGCCACGGTTTCAGTGGATTTAGATCGTGTTACGTATCAACGATAGGTTAAAAGTCATACGCTGCACAAAATACATACTGTTGTACATCGTGGGTCCGTAACCAGGGCGTCTCGGACGACTGCATTGTAGCCGTGGCACGACAATACTACAGCCACAACTGCGCCCTGTGAATGAGTGCAAACGCGTTTATTGTTTCCTCTGATGCAATCAAGGCAGAGTAAGGATCTTGGCTTTTGGATGATACATGCCACCAGCAGAGGTGTCAGCCTGGGTACGCCAAGAAACATGACTGCAAAGATTAAATACCGGACCAGCCATACCAGCCATCTCCATAGCGCTTTCACGAACAAACTTCCACGTATCACTCGCATGACCTTCATAACGTCTCGAGGATGTTGAATGCACTTCGATGGTCGGTCTGGGGCCAGCAGATATGGGCCCTGGTGGGTGCCATTGCTGCACTCATCACAATGGTGACACTCCTCGGCAGGTTCAACAACCGCCCTATCTTTAGCGAGATGGGAGTCACCCTCAACACCATCATCTCTATACTTTCGGTCACCGTCAAAGCAGCTGTTGCTTTTATTCTCTCGGAATGCATCGCCCAATGGAAGTGGATCCTCTACGCTCGGGAAGATCGACTCATGATCGATTTTGACCGACTTGACGGGGCTGCACGTGGTTCTCTGGGCAGCCTGAGGGTTTTATTGAGGACAAAAGGAGCGTGAGTATGGATAGATACTATGAGCGTCATGTTACGTACATGTTCATATCGATCATTAGGTCCATTGCTCAATTAGGGGCTGTCTTGACCCTAGTTGCCGTCGCTCTTGATCCTTTTGCCCAGCAGCTACTTCGACTCCGCGAAGCAATTGTGTATGAGACACCCAACAATGACACCTCGGCGCTCATTTCACAATCAAAATGGTATTCTCTGGGAGTTGCAGACGCTAGGAGGTTTATCTTCACGAATTTTAATGGATCCATTCAAACAGAAGAATACTCCTTCTGGAATATTACCACTAGCATCCCACCGTCAATGGAGGGGGCAATCATGAGTGGTTTTTACAAATCGCCGGAAGAATTACGGCAAGAGACCCTTTTTCGGTGTTCTTCGGGCAACTGCACCTTTGATCCGTTTGTGACCCTAGGCATCTGCCACAGATGTACAGATGTCACCTCGAACCTTTCGCGGATGCCCGGCAGCTATGACGAGCTAATGAACGCAATCACGGAATATCGAACTCCCATGAGCCCTGGGATTTTTATTGGCGGTCCCGACTTTTATGCAACCGGTTTTAGCCTTCCCAACGGTCATTTTATCACCAACACCGACGGCTGCGGTGCTTACAACGGCAACGGCAAATGCAGGAGCAATACGTATACTGCCACTTCTTTCGGCACTGGAAATCCGAACAAGACGATCACAATGAAGGATATTGACACGCTCCCATGGTCCATGAGCATCATTTATGCAGACATCAAAGCGCTCAACGAATCGGGAGCTCTTGAATCTGACAACGAGTCACCTGAGGTGACCTGGCCAGATGTGTCACTGAAGGCTACAGAGTGCGGTCTCTACTACTGCGCTAAAACAGTCAACTCCAAAGTCGAAAATGGGCGTTTAGCAGAAGTTGTTACGGAAGTTGCTGGAAGTAAGAGATATGAATACTCATGGGAGGATCCATCGTCGTTCTTTGCCATCAACAGTCGGTTATCGCCAGAGTATCGCGCACCCTTGGACGAGATGCGAAGTCTTGAATTTTACAAGCTATGGTCCGTCGCCCGGTACAAACCTCTCATAATCAAGCTAAACTCCTTCGACGGCGTGACGATTCAGCAAGAATCCATCAAATCCATTGGTGCCTACATCCAAGGCCTGTTCCGCTGGGAGCCCTGGTACAACGACACCAAGATCCTCAATGAGCTTCATCGTCTCGAGGGCATGGAAAATGCCGTTGGCTTCAACGGCGCATCTTTTGGACCCGTCAAGTCTTTCAGAGCGGTTGGTCAGCCACCGGCGCTGGATCGGCTCGTATCGACAACTCGGTCCGACTTTGCCGGTATTTCGACCGTTTTTGAATCGATGGCTTTAAGCATGACAAACGAAATCCGGCGCACGAGTGCGCAAGTCGATGTCGCTCACAATGGGATGGAAACCATGACATATGAAGGGCTGGTGGGCAGGACCGTTGTGCTATACGAGGTCAAATGGCAATGGATAGCGTTGCATGTTACTGTCCTGACATTGGCCTGCACGTTGATGTTGATGACAATCATCAACACGGGAAGCAACGTCGATGTTCCATTGTGGAAGAGCAGCTCACTGGCGGCCCTTCGGCGTGGACACGACATCGGCGGGTTGTTAAAGGACTCTGGCAAGTCTGTGGTCGACATGGAGGACGCAGCGAGGAATATGTACATGAGTGGACGCCGGATTGACGTCGAGGAGGCTAAGCATCAGGGAGAACAGTATAAAGGTCTCGTGGAGAGCAGGAGAGCGTCGCAAATCGATCTGAGTGAAGGATTGGCTGAGAGGTCGACATCAGATACTGTTGAAGAGCGTTTTGAAACCCCAAGCACAACGTCATTCAAAGAACAAAGTGTCGGAGATGGCTCCCAGAACACATTCCCATACATTATAGCAATAGTTCATCTTGGATTGACGAACAGATTGTTAACTTGAGGTCGTCCCTAATAAGAGCGTGTTCAGACAATACTCGACTGATTTTGTTCGGAGACCATGTACTATGTCAATGTGCAGGCTGGCATCACCTGGCTATTTATCAGATACAACAGAAGCTTAATCAGAATCCTAGAAACAATAACTACCCCAGTAACCATCCATACTATCAGACGCCTGCTTCCATTTCAGCAATGCGCTCCTTCCAGTTTGGACCGAATAGTTCCTCGGCCTTTGCTTCATCCTCCCTCATCTCTTCGACGTGTCTCTCCAAACGCAGACGAATCCACTGATCCTTCTCGTCCCGATCGCTTATCTTGTTCAATGCAAGGATATCGCCTTCGATCTCAGCGGCCCCAAGTATAGCCACCTCTCGGTTGACTTCCCCTGTCTTCAAGGCTTTTTTGATCTCCTCGTGCAACTTCTCTAATTCCTCCTGTTCGCATTTGAGCTCGTCCCGGCGTCTCCGAGCTGCGGCGCGTCCGCGGGTCTCGCTTTCAATCTTTCGCTCCAAGATCAGGACATCGGTGCGAATTTGACCCAAGCGCAACGAGAGAAAAACATCTTTGTCTTTAAGAAATGTCATCTGGCCTTCGGCTTCAAACTCTGCCTGCATGTGGGCACTGAGCCGCTCGAAGAGGGAGCATTCGAATGTGGCAATGTCGGTGTGCGTCTGTGAAGTGCCGCATCCATGGCAAGGTCCGAGTATTGCGAACGCGCTCGTGCGCTTCGGGAAAAGGCTTTGGATGGTTGTCATCTGTGAGGCAGTGGGCATTAGCAGGGTGGTTCGACCGTGGGATAAAGACATTCAGGATTGGAGGGCACATACAGTTTGATAGGTGAAGTCGAAGATAGCTCGAATTTGTTTCGTTATAAAGGCAGCGTGGTGGTGGCGATGTCGAGAAAAATGTCTGGCGTGGGCGACGATGAGGCGGTGAGGAGAGGCTGGGATTGATGCATGACGCGAAAAAGAGACGTGACGGGCTACCCTTATTTATGAACATCAATTGCTTATGTAACTGGGAATTCGTGTTTAAAGTAGTAATCATCTCGCCTGGAAACGATTCGGAAACGTTTCGGAAACGATTCGAGGACGATTCAATTCAGTGCATATGGGGTTGAGGCCCTGTAAAAGGACCCAACAAGGTGCGGTCTGATTGCGTTCTCCTGATTTATGCATTTCAGAACCTCAAGCCCACATAGATAACTTCAGACTCAGCTTCATGAGGTAAATTGGTGTTCAATAAAAGCATGAATAGTTTTTAGGTGGACGTTATTTGCTAGGTATGCTTTCAACCGTACGCGTATCAGCAGATGAACCACTATCGACGCTGACTAAAACATGGTAGAAATGATAACGTCAGTGATGGGTAAAAGTCGAGATAAAAGCTCAGATATTGACCTAAACACATAATATGGAACCATCTTGATTTTACTCTGTCTCCAGATTGCTTTCTTGAAACAAATGCAAAGCAACACTGCAGTTAGCAGCTACTAGGTCTTGGTCCCTGCAAGCAGCGGTATTTTTAAACCGACAGAGAAGGCCCACTTCAGAAGAAATATACAATGAACACGCATTAGACTTTGGATACCTCTACTGACGCAATCGAATACAAGGTCAGGTTTTGCTCAACCTGTGGAGCGACCCTGCACGTACAGCGGAAAAGAAAATACGCGGAAAACGTCTTGAGCAACGACTCGAAAACAGCAGACAAGATGATGAAGTCGAAACAGGTGCTGGATGTCCTAAGACACGCAGAAGGTACTCTCGACAATCTGTAGACATGTTTGTCTAGCTATCGCACGAAATAGACACAGACCTCTGTTCTCCATTCATCTCACTAGCGTGATTCGTATGGCTTGTACCTTGAAGAATTTCCTCTAGTGTTTCAAGCCGGCCCAAACATGATTGGCGGTTGGGCCAACGTTCTCCGAGAAGATGGCCGGGCTATGCCTGGCGAAATTCGAGATGCTGATCCGGAGGCAGGCAGCTGAGGTAGCTCATAGGGGGACTGCTTGTGCGAAGTAGACGACCTCTGGGATGAGGAGCTTGAATAATCTTCCTCAATACTTGCAACACAGCCCTCGACACTTCGAAAGGAAGCATCGTCACTCTGTATGACGTGCTGTCCACCGAACTTTCGCTGCATAGTTGACTGTCCTGAGAATTCGTCCTGAGCCGAAGGTAAAGCGTCCTCGTCCATACGCTGACGTGACTGGTCTTTCTTCTGTGAACCCCCCTCTTCAGATAAGACGGTCATCTCGTGTCTGGCCTTTCCCGACACATAGTCGAGCCAGAGTGAGTCATCGGCCGGATCTTCTCCCTACATATCCCTGATATCCAATTATGCTAACGATCAACTCCAGCACATGGAATCTGGCCCGTGGAATATTTTATTCTTTCAGGTTTTGCACATAGGTAACCAAAGATATCAACGCAATTCCATCATCACATCCCATTCGGAAAGTTTTCTTGCATCGACTATTGCCAATGAAAAAAGGCTTCCGGTGTGCCATGACTCTTCTAGGCTCAGTTTAAATTAGCCTGTTCCTAGATCGCACGATGCCTGGGTGTGGTGTAGGGGTGATGTCTCAGCGATCTTGTCGAGCTACTGCGTTGCGGTCCCGAGGGATGGGCAGCTTGTGCCATCATTCTTGCCGACCCTGTCCGTGAATTCGTAGCTGAAGTGGTCTGGCGTTGCCTCCATTCGCCAGTAGAGCCTGCCGATAAAGCGTCATACTTCGGCCTTATCAACGTCGTCCACGGAGCAACGGGGTTGAAATCCTCTTCCTCCGCTTTGATAGCCGCTTCTTCGGTGTATTGCAAAAGGCTCAGCCCGACCATCCCTGCCATACCACGATATTGGACATCTTCCTGTGCAGTGCCTAGGACTTGCTCAAAGGGCATGGGGGAAGCAGCGGAAGCGGCGCCTTCGTGCCGTGACCTGTCCAGACGCTCCTCGGTCTCGTATGCTCCTTCATCCGCCTGCCGTATCTTGTCCATCAAGTTTTTATGAAATCTTTCGGCCATTTCCTCTTGCCATAACTCCTTATTGATCGGATCCTGCTCCCACTCCGATTTGTCGATGCTGTTCTGGATTCGGATTATTGCAGCTCGGCTTTCAGCGAATATGCCATGCTTGATTGCCAAATATCGGTGGTCATGTTGAATCCTTGCCTCCAAGTGCGCAATGGCCTTCCTGCGTGTGTTGCAAGTCCACAGGGCTGTGGCGCGACGCCCGGGGTTGATGGTGTTGAGACATTTTTCTATCGTGATGATTGCTCTCTTGTGGTTATCGAGTCGGATATTGAGGCTGTTCAGTCTGCTGTGGAGCCCGCGTATCGCGAGCTCAGCGGAAGCTTCGGTTTGGATTTCTGTGCAGAGCTGCTCGTGGAGGAAGCATTCGTAGGGGATGTCGTAGGGGATGTCGTAGGTGAATGAGTGCAAGCCGGACTTGGAGCAGCCTTTGCAGTTGCCGAGGATCGCAGCTACGTCTTTTCGACTCGGAGCGAGGGACTCGATGTGCATCTAGTTCACCAGAGTAGTCAGCGGCGGGTAGGTCTTGGGGCTTCAGGAATTGAAACAGGGTGCGGAGAAGTTTTCCTACCGCCTCCATCCAATTCATCTTCGGGAAGGGAATAAAATGAATAAAAAGAAGAAGATGACGATTTATAGAGCTTTGCTTTAGAATAAGGTTGATGACTAGGTGTGTTAGGTTGCCACAGGTTGTTGTCAGGAGCAGTGAGAATGGTGGGGACAGAAAAGGGGGGTTGGGAATAGCTGCAAGGAACCCATCATATCTAGGACGAATTTTGAAATTTTTCGGGTTACGTAATTGGTCACGTGTCAGTTCCTCGAATTCATACGTACGGGATCAATCCAAGCCCAATCTAGGCCCGATCCAGGCCCAAACCGAAAGAAAGCTGCTTCTCGAGCCGTTCACAAGGTGTGCAAGGGGGTTGACTTGGAAATGTGTTGTGGCCTACCCTTTCTGTTGCAGTACGCCAAGACTGGGGCTGAATAGCAAGCCCATGTTGACTTATAACTAGCTTGTTCCAGTTGATCAGAAACCGTTGGAAGTTAATCAGTCAACCCGGATATTGTAAGGTATTATCAGAGCAGCTACGAGAAGGTGTACTCTTATTTCAGGAATCTTTGCGTGTGCTGTATCACAACTATCCGTATAGCGCCGAGTACTAGAGGCTCAGTCTAGCAATCTTGAATGTGGAATCATTCCAAAAAAAAGTACTAATGCATTATGATAACTAGAGGAAGTGAAGGACAAGCTTCTTGTACCCATCTATGCTGCTAATCAACTCTGGTACGCGGATGTATTCATCAGGACCGTGAGCAACCAATATCGAACCTGGCCCGTAGAGAACTCTGTTCTTACAGAACTCGGCCCGCAGACGAGGGACATCCGTACCAAAAGCGACCGGAGCCGCTTCAAATCCGTTTATCTCCCAGTCCAGCAAGGCTTCGGGGTATTCAAACACCCACTTCAGCTCGATATCCGGGTGGCGCGAGACAATGTCCGCAACCTTGATCTTGATTCCGGGCAAGTCACAGACCATGCGGACTTCGCAAAGAGCTTTAGCAGAAGGAGCGACGATGTTGTGCTTCTCTCCTCCCTCAAGAGTTCCGATGTTGAAGGTAGAAGGGCCCAGAAGCTCGGACTCAGGCCAGCTTGCAGCTGAGAGATCATTCAGAACTGCAAGCAGTGCAGAAGTTGCACTTTTACCGAGGTGCGGGTATCCTGAATGGCTGGTTGTTCAACTATGAGCATCTCTGTGGCATATCAATGCAAGATGAAAAGTAGACTTACCAGGCGACGCCATTGGCTATAAGTTCAAAAGCAACTTGACCCTTATGTCCCTTCGCAAGCTTGCTTTCAGTCGGTTCGGCAAAGATGCCTGATTCCCACGTGACTCCCATATCGTTGGCCGCAATCATTCCATGCCCTCCATTTTCCTCGCCAACCACGAATAATAGCCCAACGTCACCTTCCTCGCGAACCTTTCCTTCTTTTCTCAGCTCCTCAGCTGCTAGGATTTGAGCTGCCAATGGGCCCAGATCATCAGAAGAGCCTCTCCCCCGGATAATGTCGCCGTCGATTGTGAGGGGAATGTGAGGCGGCACGGTATCCATGTGAGCCGTGAGAAGCACCCGCGTAGTCCTCTCCGAGCCAAGATAGGCGTATACATTGTGTCGACTGGATCCGGGCGCGATTGGAATGCGCTCAACAGTGTAACCCAAGCTTTGGAGATGCTGTTCCAGAAACACACCGATGCCGTGTTCAAGCTCGCTGGTGCTGACAATTGACATCAGTGATTTCAAGAGGTCCACCGCCGGATGGTCCATAATGTTGGACGCCATGGTTGATTTCGCTTGTTGTTGCAACGCTGGTTAGGCTCTGATGATGTCTTGTGGTCAAACGTGTCTCCTTAGCGTCGCCCCGTCTAGCATCCCCTCTTTAAATGTCGCCTTCGGGACTGGACCGAATCAACTGTTCGGGACTGAACCGAAGTACCAACCCGTGAGTCACTGCTTACGTCCACGTCACATGACCCAATTTGAACCAACGTCAAAACGGGCCCGCCTCAGTTACTAGTCCAACGGTTGAACAGATTAAGCCAAATAAGCGAGTCGACTAAGATGGATGCGGTTTAAGAATAAAGTTGACCAAATGGACAACACTCGGGCTACTACAAGAAGCTTACACAATTGGCAACCTGGGACTCGAATTATAGGGGACAAATCCCCAATCAAAGTTGACATACGACGACCTTCATGTGCACGTAGTTCGGTAATAGAACAACACATCTCATGTTTTCTTCAAGCATTCAGGCTATGTTTAGTATGGCGAGGTGAGTTTGCCCCAATCTAGGAGTATGATGTCTCTCAAAGCATACCGGGTTCTCAGATATCTCTGTCCAGGCCACGCTTTTGCCCAGACCCAGCCATCCGCGTGGCAGCAGGGAGGGTTGCACCAATCGGACGGGTCGCTGCATATGTGCCCTCGATAAAATCTATGTAGTTTGCGAAGAAACGCCAGCGTAAACGTGGTCTCAACCTTAGGGCTCAAGCTAACGCCTTTCACGCAAGGCTGCAGAGTCTCGCGTCAAGATAACATCAAATCTATTTCGGAAAAGCAAGCCGTGTATTCTGCTTAGAGCATCGCAATTTGGAGGCGAAAAGTCGTGAAGTGCAACAACCTCTGTGGCAGCGCTGCCGCAAGTGCAAGTCACTTAGCAAGTAATATAAGCTAATTAGCTAAGTTAACGCTATTACTACTACCTAAATAAGTAATTTATTACCCCTTAATTAAATTATTAAACTTAATATTTTATTTATAAATAGATCTAACTAATAAAAAACTATAAATTAGTTAGTACTTTATTTATTTTAGTATATATAGTTATTAAAATATAATATTATTATTAATATTATAATATCTCTATATTTAATTAATACTTTATAAACTACTCTTAAAATATTAAACTTTAAATAATCTTTTTAAAACTTTCTAGGGGAGTAGAAATTATTATAATAATTTAAATAATATAAAAAGTATTATAATTAGCTATTTTTTATAAAAGATATTTATTATTTTATATCTTCTTTATTATTTATACCTATATATTTATACTTCTTATAATATTAATTACTATTATTAACTCTTTATTTACTATTAATATATATATAGTTTTAAGTATTTTTTATATTTAAATTTTAATTTAAGTTAAAATTATTCTTACTATTAATACCTCTTTAAATCTTATAATTAATAACTTATTTTATATTATTATAAGTAATTAGAAATATATAGTTAAAGAGTAGTTATTATAAAAATAAAATAAAAGTTAATTAAATTAGATTTAGTATTATAACTACTTTTTTATTAAAGTTATATAAAACTAAACTAATACTTCTTTTTAGAGTTACTAATAATATAAAATAAAAAGAGCTTTATAGCTATTTAATACTCTTATTACTACTATTAAATAAGAGTATTTACTTTAATATATTACTTTAAGTTTTTAAACTATATAAATTATATTTTAATAATATTAAAGTAGCTCTAATATTTATAAGATCTCTCTTTTATTAAATAAAAACTCTAATAATATTATTTTTACTTCTTTACTTCTTATATTAATACTATTTCTATATAAAAAACTTTATTTTATTAATATTAATATCTTAAAAACTAAAATTATAACTTTTAAAAACCTCTATATTACTTCTATTATTTCTATTAATCTACTATTTACTTATTTTAAGAATATCTTTTTTTAATAAATCTTTTAGTATTATAATATAGAAGTTATTAATAAAGTTTTATAAGGTTAAAGCTTTATTTAAAACTAGCTTTAAGATTTCTTTTAATATAATAAAGCTTTTATAGTAACTAAACTCTATTTAGTAATATTAAAAATATATTTATTATTTAATTTATAGTCTTTATTTAATATTTATATTTTTATAGTAATTATTAATTACTTTATTAATAATAAAAGTACTTTATAGTTATATCTTTTAGCTTTCTCTTAATATTATAGAAATTATAGTAGTAAAAGCTTTATAAAAACTTTTATTAGTATTATTAATTAGTATTAGATTTAGAACTATATTAAAATAATAATTATTAATAATACTATAAATAATAATACTTATTTCTAAGCTTTTTATTAATAGATTAACTTAAAGATATTAGAGATAAATATCTAAGTTTAATATATATAATATTATAGCTATATCTTTAATCTTATAGCTTAAGTTTTTTTATTTAGTAAGGATTAAGGGAATTTTAAGGTTAAATTAGATTATTATTAGTTTATAAAGTAGTATAATAAGGATCTAAAAATATAATAATATCTTAAACTTATTAATTAGCTTTAGAATATTATTAAATTTATATAGGTTTCTCTATAATAAATAGAATAGTATTAAAAAGTAGTAATAGAGATTAATAATAGTTTTAACTTTTAGATCTTCTCTAAGTTATACTAAGAAGTTTAGTTTATACTAAATAATAATACTTATTAGAATAATATATATCTAATAATTAAGAGGGCTATAAAGAAGAAAATAGAGATTTAGATTTTCTTATTAATTAATAATAATAATAATAATATTAAATAATATATATTAGAGTTAAACTTACTTTCTACTAATAATTAGAAGGTTTTTATTAAGATCTTAATAATCTTTAAGTTTTTCTATTACTAAATAAAGTAGTATAAAAGCTAAAGTATTAATAATAAATATAACTAACTTTAAGAGGTTATAATAAATATTAAATATTTTTTCTTATATCTTATTAATTAGAAAATATATTATAATACTAATATTAATTTTAAAGTTAATAATAATAATAAAAGTATTTTTTAGCTATTATAGTTATTTTAAAAGTATACTAGTTAAGCTTAATATTATTAATATAATATTTAAGCTTTATTTACTTATATATAGAAAAACTAAATATTATTAGCTTTATAATTTATTTTATAATTTAAGACTTTTAATAAAGAGTAATAGACTTTCCTCTATAGTAATATTAAGTAAGTATAATAAAAGCTTTTTAATTATTATAAACTTCTTAAAGAGTTATTATTATTTTCTAATATAATTATTCTATATTTATTATATAGTATTTTATACTTAAGAGATATATAAAGTAAGGATTATTAAAAAGAATAAATTAAAAAAACTCTAAGTATTTTTATAAAGTACTTTAACTAATAGTATTATTAGTTTAATAAGATTTTATTATTAAGCTAATAAGCTAGTATACTTCTTATTAATTTTAGTATTAAAAATATAGAAAATATTTACTATTAGTAATAAGTTAATAGTTAATATTATTAGATATTACTTTAAATAGATAAGTTTAATTTCTACTTTTATTAACTTCTAGAGATTATTTCTAATTTATTATAATAATAAATAGATTATATAGAAACTTTTTTAAAACTCTCTTAGTTTATTATTAATATTTTTATTATATTAGTAATAATAACTAACTATAAAAAAGCTTTTAATACTATTAAGTTAAACTTCTTATTATAAAGGTTCTTAATAATATTAGATATTATAGAGATTTCCTAACTAAATAAAAACTAACTAAAGAAAGGGATAATAATACTTTAGAATTATTTTAAGCTATTAAGGGTATTATAATTTTATTTACTTATTACTTAATTAGGAAGTAATAATAATATTATTTACTATAATATTTAACTTATTATACTTATAAGTTAACTAATAATTAAAGCTTAGGAAAAAGATTACTAAGTTAATAAGTATAGGGGGCAAAATTAACTTGATTGTACTTGCGGCAGCGCTGCTCTGTGGCACCTGAGCAGGAGAGGTAGATGCCACTAGCCGCGATGAGTGTTGCCTCAATTCAGCGCGTCATTCGCCCAGGGCATTAGAAACCAGGAAGGCGCTCAGGAGCTGTCACACGTCAAAACTAAACATATAAAGCTCACAAACTTCCCCTGGCTGGTTCACTAAATCTATGTGGGTGGAGACACACGAAGCCATACCAAATAGCAAAACGGCTTCATCCAGCGATCTCCGTTCTATCAGGTTACTCGACATCATGTCTTCAGAGAGGATAACCATCTATCACAATGGACCTTCGACTCCCGGTGTGCACGTCCGAGACGAATCAGACAGTCAAGATCCGCCACCCGAATACACATATCCCGATTTACCTACCGATGGGACGATCCCGCCTGGCCGCGTCAACACCCCCTTCTCAAACTTACCGGCAACGGAAAGATTAGTCAGACGACAGGTTCCGATCATCGCCATTTCATCAGGGTCTCCCGGAGTGCCAATCTACATGGTGTGCTTCCTGCTGGTCATTTGTTTGTTGGCCTGTAAGTCACATCTCGGACAATAAATCCTGTGCGGACCTGCTAACCCCTGAACGACAGACCATCTGGTTTCACTATGTATGGCCATCTACCCTTGATGACCCTTAGGGCAATATGCACTGCAAAACAAGTCCTGAATGGCCTGATTTCATGTCGACTTGGACCACTTGGGAATGCCCTCAGCGAAAGTCGGTGTGAGTGACGGCGTGGATAATTCTTCCAATTGAAATTACGGTCTCGTGCGGACTTAGACGGCCACCCTCTATTCTGTGAACTACAGAAATACACCCTGATACCGGGTTTTGTGGTTTTGGAGAACCCGTGCGGCTCCCCACGGGGCCTCAATTCTCGCATCCAGGTGCACATCCCGACGACTTACCATACCGAGATTGGAATTGAGTTTCAGCTTCGATGGTTTTCCGGTGAGGGTTTGGGTGAAAACACGGAATCAGCACTTACAGTTCACTGGGCGCGTATCTCTATATATACCTTGAACCCCATGTATGCCAGCGCCAATCCAAATTGTCCAGATTGCACACTGTTTTTGACTACTCGAATTCAGATTGTCCAGATTTCTCGTCGCTTCGACTACTTGACTTGAGAGGCTTTATTTCCCTGATTTCTCTACGACAGCAGCCATGGATCCGTTCAAGCCCATCCCGTCTGAAATCCTCCGGATGATACTCCAGATCCTGCCGGGCCGCTCCGATTTTGCTGCTGCGACTGAAGCGTCCGCAGCCTTTCGTAACGCAGCTGATCCGTTCGAATCCATCCCGTCTGAAATCCGCCTGATGATACTCGAGATCCTGCCGGGCCGCTCCGATATTGCTGCTGCGACTCAAGCGTCCAAAGCCTTTCGTAACACAGCCGCAGGCACCTCATCACGCGACCTGATCCGCCGCTTGCACATCCAGAAAGACCTCAGCGGAGACCTTCTCCAAGCCGCGATGGCTGTCGTCTTGTTTCCAGGTCCAGGTTCGAATGAAGCGTTAATAACCAAGCACTTGGATGACTGGGAACATGGTCGGTTTGCGAATCCATTCCTTGATCATATCAGCAACCGGGATCGCATAGAAAAGTTGGATAACCTCTGTGGCTGCTTGCGACTTGTCATCACCGACTATTTGTCCAAGGCCACTAGTGCTCGACTGCCGTTTGCGTATCGAGCGTTGCCAACGTGGTCAAACCCATATTATGCTCTGACGGCTACGCAGGGAGATCTCCGCCAACATCACTTGAACAGTTTCAACATTAATAACATGGAAACTGATGAGCGGTGCCGTGTTTATCGCGCCTTTCTACAGTATGAGATTCTCAGCAAGGTCTACGGCCCCTTGGCAGCGGCAAGAGCGCCTGCCGGTCCTCAACCCAGGTTTCATATGTGGGACTGGAATTCTCTTTTCCACAACTCCATACCAGCCTCGGATCCCAAGCTCTTTGGGAGCATTCGCGAGTATTACATCATGACACACCGCGCGGTACTTGCCCAACTTGAAATGGACCCTCGGCAGACGTTCCGCCAAGACCCTCCGCAACACATACCGGAGGTGTGTGAGCATGCGCCTCGCGTGGGACAGTATGAGTTTCAACCCAACCCTAGATACTTGGTAGCACGTCCCCAGCATACCGATGTCGCTGGATTTTCTGTGTTGGCCAGCGGCGGTCTTGACACGCTCGTGGGCGTTCTGACGGCACAACCATGGACAATGCGCACTCTGTATTTAAAGCTCTGGCGAGAATGCAAACGCAAGCATTTGAGGTTTGGCCTGGCTCTTTCGATCCCGGCTGTAGATTACGCCGATTACGCTGATTCACAACCTTCGTTCAATGCACGATATTGGCTTTTCGCTGGTCTGGCTCGGTTGCAAAGACAGAGGGCTTGGGGCGTTTTTCGAGACGACCGCTTCTATCCGCGCTCCATGGCATCCATGACACAGCGATTTCGACAAGGAATGATGCAAAACAACCCTTTTACACTCCAACATTATCGATACCCAACTAGCAGCTCTCTCACACTCAACACTTATCGATACCCAAATAGCAATGCTTTGTATCGATATGCAGATGGCACTGCTTTTCAGGCGGATCAACGGTATCCTAGCTCACACGTCTGGGTCAGCCTCAACCAGTCTCGCATTCTTCGAGAGGCTTGGAAAAGATGTGAGAGACGCGGGGCCTGTTCTTGGAGGATCATGACAGAGTAGACAGCGGTTCGTATGGTAGACAGCGGCTCCCAGGGCATACAGCGGTTCACAGTTGAACGATTAGCAGTTTAGAATAGAACATTACTTATAAACGAAGACGGTTTCTCCCCGATTCCATGCGCTTAGTTAATAGTACCTCATGCCAAGCCGGGACGCCGTCGCATACCTCGCAGATTCAAACCTGTCCCAAGATTTCCATGTTATTCAGTGATTTGCATTCAATTTTACGGGTGTTCTTTGATGGAGTCAATCTTGACTCTGATAGGTTTCCAGATCCTGGCCGCAGCACTGTCAATCCAGATCGCTGTCGTCTCATCTGTCTTGTAAAGACTCATGTCGAACCGGCTGAAGAAGTTTGCGATGCTGAGATACATCTCAACATAAGCAACACTATGGATGATTAGCTCTTTGTTCAGCTTTGACCGCACTACCGTATTCAAACTTACTTCATGCCCAGGCAGGATCGGGGTCCTTTGCTGAATGGAACGAAGTACTTCTCCAACGCCCATCCCTGTTCTCCGAGCCAACGTTCTGGAATGAACTTCTCAGGCTCGGCGAACAGATCAGGGTTGTCGTGAATAGTGCGGAGAGTCTGCGAGACAGTTGTCTGTGAGGCAAGTAGAGTCAGTATACCGTACGCAATATCAGGAAAGGCGCAATACTCACGCCTTCCGGAAGATAGTAGCCGTCAACAGTGGCGCCGCCTTTGGGGACTCTTCTCGGGATGATGCCAGGCACTGGAGATGAGAGACGCAAAATCTCCTTGATAGTCGCACTCTACATGTTGAAGGTCAGTGGCACATCCCCAAAACCACGCGCTGAATGAGCCACGCACCAAATAAGGTAGGCTGCTGATGTCACGGTACTCATAAAGACCCTCTGAGTTGGTGTCAACAGTCTTCAACTCTTCAAGCACCTTATCTAACTTGTCAGGATGCCTGAGCAAGTAGTAAGTGCCGAAGGTCAGGCCAAAGCTGGTTGTGTCGGTGCCTGCAAAACACAAAGCCAGAGCTTCATCAACAAGCGCCTCGCGGCTCAGCTTGTGGTACATCTTTGTGTTTTTGGTGCTCAGCAAAGTATCAAAATATGTGCTGCGGCCGTCGGAAGAGGTGTCGACTCCAGCGTTTTGCCGGTCTTCAATCTCCTGAATCCACTCGGAGCATTGCTGCGGAGTTGTGTTAGGCGATATGCAATGCAACTTCAAGACGTGGGTCATCGGAGGATTTACTTACGTGGCGGAACTGAGCATATCCCGGCAGCAGCTTTTGAGCGATGCTCATGGGAATAGCCATGGCAAGATGAATGAGAAACGGGAAGTGCTTCGTAATCAGGAAGTTCTCTGCAAACTTTTCCATGATGTCCAAGAAGGGGGGAAACTCCTCGTCCTGGTCAACCAAGTTCATGTTTCTGTCGAATAGGACAGGCATAATGGTGTCGACCTTCAGAAAAGAATAGAAATCAGCAACCTTTCCAACGAAAGTCACAGATTAGAATCAATCATAATGGTAAAACTTACTGTCACGGCCTGCCAGAAGGGCTGCATGCTGATAGCTTCTCCCTTCTCAAATGACCTCCGGGCCCTTGCCATGGCCCTCTTGACGACGTCAAGAACGACGGGGGCCAGTTGATCCATCTGTTTTGGCGAGAAAATTGACTTCACAGTGTTCCTGCGCTGCTTGTGCGCCTCAGGATCAATCAGCATGATGATGGAATACTTGATACCCCCGCCGCTCTGGAAGAAGTCAGGGTCCTTGGTGTACTTTGTGCCATTTCCGTAAACCCTTGATGACGATATTAGTTTACACTTTTCCCACTGAAGACTCAATTGTTTACATACTCTTTGAAATATTCCGGGTTATAGACATGCACTCTGCTTGGTGATACTCTCACAACAGGTCCTGCTTCGGATCAGTCCGTGAAGTCGCGTTCGGGCGTCGGAATCTCACTCACCATACTTAGCGTGGAGTTTGGGGTAATCCTTGATGTAATGGCCGTCCAGGATGACATCCTGGTAGAACTCATACCAATAAGTGGCTGCAGCGTACCATGGGCCAGGGATGTTTCTGAGGGGGTGGAACAGGAGCCTGTAGGCCACGAGTCCGACGGCATAGAGCACAAGCCCCACGACAAAAATTCGCGGGGCGTCGCTCAGGAGACTCTGCTGGCCCAGAAGCTTCAGGGCCATGTTTCGATCTGGGTGAAGTCGGTCGACTTCAGAAGCGATCGCCTTGGGTGCGTGGAGAAAAGAGAGAGGAAGTAATACAATTGACTCGCATAGAACGAAGAGGTCTGAGCCAACGGGATGAGATTTGGCGAATCTCGCTTCCCTTATGGCCTTTTCGCAGTCGCCGCGCTGCACGGTTCTGCACTCAAAGATAGTGTTGCCCAAGTTGGAAATGGTCGACCAAGGCACTCTCGCTATTTCGAGGAAAGGCAGCAGGCGGCAACAGCGTCGAGAATCCCTGATCGAGCCAATCGTTGATCATTTTCTCCATTGGGGGTTGAACCTATATGTAAGTATGCAGGACATCTGCGGGACCCCATCAACTCATCAATCGCACGTCGCTATGGCCCTCACCGCTAAATTAGCGTGGGCCTGCTGTGCCGTTCGATGCCTCTGGCCCTGAAGCAGCGCTGCCGTGTTACTCAGACAAACAAAACAAGGGCATTATTTGGTATGTTTGCCTGGATACAGAGAGGCTGAATTGGTCATTCGACGGATCACGGGCTGACAGTTAAGGCAGCAGTCGAGGCTGCAAGGCAGCAGACAATGTCTTACATCACTTTCGGTGTTGCCGCCTTATGGATTTGGGGCGCCACTGGTTTGGGGGCCGATTTCTCGCATCTTGCTTCCCGAAATGTTCGGGTTAGGGCTGAAGTGCCTGAGTGCTGAG